ACGTTCCAGTTGAGAGACGACCGACTCTACCACTGAGCCACCATTTAAATATGAACATAAAATACTTGCAGTGTTTGCTTTGCTCCTTTTATGTGAAATAATTCAGTTTCTATCCACGAGTAAGAAAGAAAGTAAGTAGAAAAAGTGAAAGAAAATAATATTTATCAGGGATAAATACCGAGATTATATTCACAGGTAACCCCTAACCCAGAATTCAGAAGCGGGCGTGCAGGTGGGTGCCACAACAACCTTGTGTCCTCTGTGTTTTCTAATAACAAAGACAAACTGAATAAACGCCATCAGAGCGGGTTCAAAAAAACCTTTAATCACCAAACCGTCGAGTCAATCGACTGTCGAGCCGTTGTGTGCTCAGCCTCTTCTGGAAGCATCTTGATTAGGTTTCCTCGAGCCAAAACACTCTTTAATTGAGTGCAGCCACAAAGCCTCCTGACTGCTCTATTTCTCTCCAGGACGCCGTGAAAGCAGCGAGACGTGCTGCCAACTCGCTGACACGACAAGCAGAAACAAAAGAGAGAGAACAAACAGACCACGGGGGCTGCAGTTTGATCGTGTTTATTTGAAATAAATCTCATGATTCAGTCCCCAAAAAAAGCTGAGCATTAAAATGTTTATTAACGAGGGAACGGGGGTCAACATAACGGATAATTTTTAACCTGAACATATTTTTCAATCCAGACAACTTCTGTAAATACTAGTTTATTTCTTCAGGCACACTGCTAATCCTTTGGTGAAAATGCTCAGAATTAAAGTATTTGCATTTAAAGGAGACAGTCTGTAACTCTGCCCCTAGTGTTTAAAAATGGATACTGCAGTCTAAATTCTAAACATCATAGAGAGCTGTCTCCCCCCCCCTCTCTAGAGTGGATGCTCACTCAGGTCACCATGTGGTGGACTCTGAAGCTTCAGTGTTTATCCAGCTCTGCATGGGTCTGTAAACCTTTCTGTGTTCTAACCTCTCTCCATTTTTCAAAAGCATCTCCAATATTGATCCTAGTTTGAGCACGTTTCTGCTCGTGGAGCTTATTAGAAACATGCAGAGGCTTTTTAGGTCGGGTACAATCACTTCTATCTGAACCACTTCTCTTGACCGCTTCCATCGCTGCAACACCTGTTGACCTGATAACTGCTCTCATATCTAGCAAACCGAGGGGCGTCCAAAACGGCCGTGTGGGGGTGTGTCTTAAAAGCGCCTACCTTCTCTGGTCCAAACAAATCCAGAGCATTCAGGAGCAGAATCTAAAGTTAGAAGGAGGACATACTGGCTGCTGCATTGTTGTCAGAGAAGCCAGCACTTCAACATAGCATGTTTCCTTAATGATCATATAGTATGATACCTTAATGGGAGCTCCACGATGATATATGAACAAACCACTGGAGCAATTTCCACCGTTTTTGTACCTCTAACCAAAAATGTAAGAATCACGTAACCCCCCTTTAGTTCAATTGAATTTTGGTGCAACCCCGTGGAGGAAATGTTTTAGAGGGAGGGAGCAAAAAGGTAACCTCAGCCGTCAGCTGAATAAAACATGCTCGGGTTAACTGTTCTTTCTCTCTCTCTCTCTGAGTGTGGGTGATGGATTTACTCCGCTCGGTCTTTGTGCTGTTTCAGTGTCAAGAATCCCCAAACGGAGAGTTTTTTAACAAGGAGAGATTCAAAACGCACTCTGTGATTCTGTGATATCGTTCAGATCTGGACGAGTGCTCTCGCTCTCCTCAACCATCCCAGTAACTCTGCGTTTTCATTTCTCCTCCTGCAGCAGTGACGGCCCCTTCCTAAATGACCCAGTCTCCTGGCAACCAGGCACCAATCAGCACCCAGGATCTCTCTCTGTAGTAACCACAGTGTGGGGTGTGACCAATCCCACACACAGCCAGGTAACACATGTCTCAGTGCTCGAGGACATTTCTCCTCTCCTCCTGTTTTTATGTGCAGTGATGAAGCGAAGCGGTTATCAATGAGGAGTCAGACTGCTGGAATCCAATCACATGTTTTGTATCTTATGTGACATTAAAGATGGCAGAATAAACATTCTGTCATGACAATTATAATCAATTCATTCATTATCTATACCACTTTGAGTCTCAAGGGGCTGGAGTCAGTCCCAATTCTCTCTGGGTGAGAGGCGGGGTTACACAATGGACTGTTCCCCAGCCAATCACAGAGCTGACATATAGAGACAAACAACCAGCCACACTCATATTCACATCTATGGCCAATTTAGAGTCACCAGTTAACCTAACGAGCATGTCTTTGGACTGTGGTAGGAAGAAGATATGAGAGCAGTTATCAGGTCAACAGGTGTTGCAGCGATGGAAGCGGTCAAGAGAAGTGGTTCAGATAGAAGTGATTGTACCCGACCTAAAAAGCCTCTGCATGTTTCTAATAAGCTCCACGAGCAGAAACGTGCTCAAACTAGGATCAATATTGGAGATGCTTTTGAAAAATGGAGAGAGGTTAGAACACAGAAAGGTTTACAGACCCATGCAGAGCTGGATAAACACTGAAGCTTCAGAGTCCACCACATAGTGACCTGTGTGAGCATCCACTCTAGAGAGTCAGCTGTTGTAAAACTCGGTTACCTCCAGGATTCAGACCGTACGGATATGAAAGCCATTTATTCACAAAGATTAGGAGTTTATTACAAGAGGTTGTGAATGGAGGAGATGGCTGTTTCTCTCTTCATGTTTAATAAAGTTGTAAATAAGCTGCTCTTAAAGGTCACTCGTCCACGCTGCAGTCTGTGGGAGTGAGCTTTAGAAGAATTCTTTCACTCCTCAGTTGGCTTCTTGACGATTTTTTTTTTACTCTGATTTTCACAGCTTGTTAAATCCGAGTCCTACATGTTTGGATCTTCTGGAAAGTGTGGGAGTTAAACGCACTTTAACGACTTTTCTATCCTGGGAAATCTCTCCTACATTGAATTCTGAGAGGCGGTCGTTAATCAAACAGATAACATTGGATTTAATCCTGCAAACAATCTTCACATACCCACACCAATACTGAGACGTTTTGTAAGACAATATGTTTATTATCGGGCAGGGGCGGGTCCAGAGGGGGGCCCTGGGGTGGCATGGACCCCCCCCTCTTGAAATGTGATTAGTCACCACAGGTGCCACCCCAAAATCCAAATCTACGATTGGCTACTTGCCTAATCAGAGGAGGGACTCGAGATAAAAGCTATTTTCAACAGAAATACTTGTCAAGCAAAAACATTTGCACGTTGTTGAACTCACTTAATGGACTTAATTGCCAATAAATTAATTTTTGCAAGTTGGACAGCGTAGAGTTTGCAGTTTGCTAAATCGTGACTCTGTACATTTTTGTTTTTGAGTCCTTGAAGAATCAAGATGAGAAGATTCACATGTTGCCAAATTGTGTTAATTACAAGTACATATTAGTGGGGATAGAAAGGGTAAAAAAATTCAATTTATTTGCGTATATGTGTCCACAAACTTCCGGTCACCCCTGCATAAGTCATTACCCTAGGTAGGCCACCCGAGTCCAAAAAGTCTGGACACGCCCCTGATTATCGGGGACAAGAGACTGACTTGACAGTGCGTCCCTTTTATGTAAAGACATGAATGTTTTGTATTATGCGATATGAACAAGAGGTGACCGTGCTGAGGCCCGGTTAGTCTGGAGCGGTGTGAGCGCAGGCCAGCGTGGGAATAAGGGGGGGGGGAGTGTGAGTGCGCCCTGAGTGTCTAAGATGGAGGGTGAGATCGATTGGTGCAGCGTTAGCAGTGCTGCGATAAATGCAACAAGACCCCTTCATAGTTGTAAACGCTGCTCGTCCGTCCCTCTTGACTGGAAGTCATGAACTTTGTGTTTTCAGTTTCACTTTCATTTTGACTCTTTGGGTTGAAAATGACTAAACTGTGGTCTTTTTCCGATTCCCACCACCCTCCCTCCCTCTCTCTGACGCCCACTGTGATAACACCTCTCTCTCTCTTTGTCTCCCACGCAGGTGTTCGCCACAGCCATGGGTCCCGGTGAGAGCTCTGGTGGTCACATGATGCCCGGGGGCAGTCCCGGGATGGGTCCCGGTATGGGCTCTCAGTTCATGGGGCAGCAGTCGTACGGGGATGCCGTCTCTAAAGGGTACGGACAGCCCGTGATGTACGGACGTCCCGGTGCTGGGTATAACCCCGCCTCAGCGTACGGGGGAAGGTACGCTGCTTCTTTATCATCAAACACTGAATTTCACTTTCAATATGACTGAAGTTTACCACACCGTCACACTTCTATCCTCTGAAACTGAACTCAAACTGAAGCTGCGGTCTTTTTAAGTTTAGCAGAAGTCATGCTGTTACCTCTTATTTTAAATTAACAAGCCAATGCAGAATTACAAAAAACTGCAGTTCCTCGAGTGTCCACTAGAGACGGCCTCCAGAAGCCCTAGAAGTCACATACACACCCATTCAAAAAAGCCAGTTTTTACAGCATGAATAAACATGTTTACAGCCTGGTTCAAAAAACAATTTAGGCTGAATATGTCATGTCTTTATCTGCACACGCTGTACGGGGGGGGGGGGGGGATTTATTTACAGCTCATCCGCTTTGATTTTATGAAGGATTCGAGTGATGCATAATTAGGATAGGATAGGATACTTTATTGATCCCCAGAGGGGAAATTCGGGCGTTGCAGCAGCACAGACAAGAAAGTTCAAAATGCACATTAAACAGAATAGATAACATAAAAATAAAAATAGGGGGTATATACAAGTACAAAATGAATGATGAAGTTAACTATGCAGGGAATTGAGACAGTATTTGCAGAGAATGACAAGATAAAGTGACAAGTGATGATTAAATAAATAGCAGCAAGTAATGTAAACAGCAGAGAAGAGAGGCAGTGTTGTACCACAGTGATGCAGTGACCTCTGTGTCTGTTTCCAGGTCGATCGAAAGTTAGGTAGAGACATCTTTTTTAAAATGGCGCCCTCTATGGTTGGGCTTTATAACCTGCTCCAGGAAACCGGTGGGTGATGTCACTGAGGCTACGACCATATTTTTTAAACAGCCTGTGGTTACTGTACTCGCTGACCAGCCACGAACCAACTGTCCCACAATCAATCAATAGAATTTTTAATGCACTTTACCCTCCACTCGTATCCTCAAACTCTGACTAAAACACAGAACAAATCCCCCGAGCCGTGGCGTCGGTCAGTGGGGCTCATGGAACATCAAACCCTCATCCTGCCTTCTGAACCAGTTCCAGCTCGCTCTGCTTTGTTTCAGGTTCTGGTCTGAAGTCAGTGAACGCTCTTTTGTGTTCCTGTTTCCTTCAGCGTCACTCACACATCAAAGCAGACGCACAGGTGCACGAGCGTTCCCCGTTTGGAGTGGATGTAAAAAATAAAGAAATGGAAAAAAAGTCAAATTATTGATGTCACTTCCAGGGACTGGAGGGCGCTTTTTTTTGTTTAGATTATTTTTGGAGGCTCATCCAGGACAGTGAATAGAAAAGGAAACCAGAAAGAGCAGGAAAGGAGCCACAGGCAGGACTTGAACCCGGGCTGCCCGCTTGGAAGATTATAGCCTCCGTACATGGGGCGCGACCTAACCACTAGGCCATCAGCGCCCGAAAAAAAACAAATTTAAAAAAATGAGGTTTAAAGGAGAAATCGATTTCTGTCATTCGATTAACTTTTGAACTTTACTTTAACTTTATGAACCTCTATCTAAGTGTTTGACTATCAACAATCAAAATAAGATTAGAGATGTTTATCGTTGCCATGGAAACACCCGATGTTATGTCAAAGTTCGCTGCATAAGGAAGCAACAAAAATGCTAGGCTAACAGCTTTTAAATATAAAAGTTAAAATCAAATTTCTCTGCTGCTGTTCCTCTGTGCTGTTTCTGCATCAACATATGTCAGACTGGCTGCTCTCACCCACCGCTCTGACTCACTGATGACCACACACACACACACACACACACACACACACACACACACACACACACACACACACACACACTCGGCTGCTCCCACTCATCTCCACGTCTTCCCCTGCAGTTACCCTGGTAACAGCGGAGGTGCCGGTCTGGGCGTCCGTCCTCCCTCAGACTTCACGCAGGCTGCTGCCGCCGCCGTTGCCGCCGCCGCAGCCACTGCAACCGCCACAGCCACGGCGACTGTCGCAGCGATCCAGGAGAAACAGAACCAGGAGCTGAGCTATGGACAGGTAAATGTTCCTGACAGGTGAATGTGTCCGTCTGTCCCGGAGACTGGGAGGTGCAGCGCCAGAGTTCATTCATTTAATTGGTTGAAAAATAAATAAATTTATCGGACATTACTGCAACTTTTTAAAATGTAAAACCAACAGTGGAACTTTGAATTGCTTCAGTTTATCCCATGAGCCCTGTGTGCCTGTGCAGATGTGTTCAGGTTACAACTCAGACAGTTTGTCTTAAAGGAACAATGAGCGACTCTTTGATCCAGTAGATGTCGCCCTTGAGCTCCAGCATGAAACCCAAACAAACTTCTGTTTGGCCACGCCTCCTCCATCCTGAAGCCTCCGCTCTCCTCCAGAGACACACCTCCAACCCCCCTCCACTCACGTTCACATGAAGGATTAAAGTGCAAACAGTGTCCTGCATTGTTGTGTTGGCGTGCTAATGTTAGCGCTCTTTAGTTAGCTCATAGCTTTACATTGTTGTGTTAGCATGCTAATGTTAGCGCTCTTTAGTTAGCTCGTAGCTTCACATTGTTGTGTTAGCATGCTAATGTTAGCACTCTTTAGTTAGCTCGTAGCTTCACATTGTTGTGTTAGCATGCTAATGTTAGCGCTCTTTAGTTAGCTCGTAGCTTCACATTGTTGTGTTAGCATGCTAATGTTAGCGCTCTTTAGTTAGCTCGTAGCTTCACATTGTTGTGTTAGCATGCTAATGTTAGCGCTCTTTAGTTAGCTGGTAGCTTCACATTTCATGTAAACTGACACAGAATGAGCGTGATCTAAAAACTCTTACTAACATCCAAATAATCAGTGAGTATGTTCTTCTTCTTCTCTCTAGTTCTTGACTAAAACAGCTTTTATACACAAGGGGAGGAGCCGGCCGTCCCGTCCATGTAAACACGGCTCTGACAACAACACAGCCAGCGGGACTCGAGCTTCTCCCTCATTGTAGACAGTCAGGACTCAGAGACACATTTACACAGGACAGACTTTATGATTTATTTATGTGGAACATGTCGATCATTCTAACTTTAAATGCTTCAAAATGTACAGAATAATATTTCCCTTTTAAAGAATTAAGAATAATTTTGATCCATAACAGAAGAAATGATTTTTGAGAGTAGACTCATAACTCAGACGTCTGTATCGTTCTTAAACCTGAATTTATTCTCGTGTTTCTTTATAATCTGTAATCAAATTAAAGCTTTTTTGAGTCGTCTGTGGAGGTTCGTTGTGACTCACAGCTGGAACTCTTCTTCATCTTCTTCTTCTTCTTCGACTCGGAGGAGCTTGAAAAAGCTTCTTGGGTGAATCATCGGTTTTAAAGAAGAATAAGTGTGAAAGCATGAGTCACTGCAGGGAACAAGAGGGGGCTCTGAAACATCCTGTTCAAACTGTCAGCGGACTTCTCGTGGTCTTTTATTTTGTACGTTTTTGACTCTTTGTGGAGTCTTTCAGTCAGACGCTCGTTCTCCTCTCTGACTTTATATCCTCTAACGTCAGAGTTAAAGATCCTTTCACACACCATCAGGTCTCAGGATTCCAGAACGAGTGACAGCCGGCCGCGCGGCGTTCTCATTCACGTCCTCGTTTATGTTGAGATCTTCATTTCTGTGAGGCTTGTTTTTTTAAACCGCCCTGTTGTTCTTCCTTCTCTCTCTCTCTCTCCCAGATGGGCGGAGCCTCCTCTTACAGCACCCAGTTCCTGTCTCACTCTGGGCCTCGGGGCCCCCCAGGGATGGTCTCCTCCAGGACCGGACCCCCGCCCTCCAGCGGGGGGATGTATCCCTCCCACCCTGCTCAGGGTCAGAAGATGCCCCAGCATGGAGGAGGGTACCCCGGAGGGCATCAAGGACTCAAACGACCTTTTCACTCAGAGGTCAGCAGAAGCAGAAGTTTTGAACTCGTCCTGTGACGTTTCTTCAAACCAGGTATTTATTTTCTGGCCTTTACTTGATTCTTCTCCAGGGTTTTCCTGTGCAGCAGTACGGCTCCGGTGGGATGTCCGGGTACCCTAACCAGCCCCTTCAGTACCCTGCAGGACCTCAGCAGCGCTGCCCCCCCTCCCCGTCTTACCCCTCCAGCAGGATGCCTCTCATGGGGCAGTACAGCTCCGGATCACAACACCCGGGACAGTTTCCTCCTGGAGCCGGACCCCCCAACCCTCCACAGTACTACAAGGTGATGAGTCCTCACGCTTCACAAAATCCAATCCAACTTTCTTTGTTAAGAACTTTAAAACAAACACAGTTAAACCAAAGTGCTGCACAGAAGAATAAATAAAATACAGAACAGCTCACATGAGATAAAAGAAAACTACATGTGAAATACAGAATCCATTTAAAAGACATAAAACAAGTAAAATGAACAGGCACGCAAAAAAGAAATCAAATCAATAAATAAGTCGACGTCTTACTGTGTGTCAGAAGGAAAAGAGATGGGTCTTAAGACAAGATTTAAAAAGAGGCAGAGAAGAAGAGGCCTGTTTAACGTGCTGAGGTAAATCGTTCCTTAGTTTTGGAGCCACAACAGCAAACGTACGGTCCCCTCAGGAGCAGCTGATCAGCTGACCTGAGAGAGCGGGTGGGCGTGTACGGGTGTAGAAGCTCAGAGAGGTAGGGCGGGGCAAGACCATTGAGAGATTTAAAAGCAAATAAAATAATTTTAAAATTGATCTGAATTGTATGGGCAACCAGTGGAGTAAAAATAAAAGAGCTGCGGCGTCCTGGCTGAGGCGATTAAAAGATTTCTGAAGTGAAGAATCACTTTTTAAAAAAACAAGATGAGCATTCAGGGGTTAACGAGACACAGGGGAGCACAATCAGGGCGGGAAAACAAAGAGGAGCAGGATCTGAAGGAGCGAGAGAAGAGTGAATACAAAATAAAACAGGAAATGACAAAAACACTAAAATAAATGTAGAGAAACAAAACATGACCTGACCAACAAACCAGCCCACCTTGCATGTGCCCTATTGGCTGATACACACATATGTGGAGGCATTTTATTGGTTGTCCCTACCTTTTTAAATTGTTTTACCTCTCCTTCAATTGTGTACCCACCCTGTTTAAATGATGTTTGTTAATCTGTTTCTTGATGACCCTGATGAACGCCACGAGCCGAAACGCGTCGGTCTACATTGTTAATAAAGTTGATCTTCTTACTACAAGTGTTGCTGGAGCATTCTGACCTCCGAGAAACAAAACATGACCTGAGGTGACCTGACGGGTTGTGTCATTCCTGAGAGTTTACTAGTTTACTAATTAAGAAATAAAAACACCTCCAGAGGTCACTTCAGGCGACCGCAGCAGACTCGTGTTAACAAACAGTCGATTATCTGATAAAAGAGGGAATTAGTCGTTAATGAAAAACCACTTAACGACCATTTAAAAGAACATGTCAGACTCCATTCAGGGAACACAGGCGTCTTTTTGTTTCTGTGTGATGAAAGTTGTTTTGCAAACAGATCTAATTAGTTGGACCGTGTTGAAGTGTGTGTGTCATTATTTGTGTGTGTGTGTGTGTGTGTGTGTGTGTGTGTGTGTGTGTGTGTGTGTGTGTTGCAGTCGGAGCCGTTTAACGGTCAGGGCGGTCTGCCGTCTGCGGGCGCCGGAGGATACAATGCCTTCACTCAGGCTGCAGTCAGCGGGGTGAGTCGTGTACGCAGACTTGCTTTTTAAAATCACTTAACGAGTCCAATTAAGAGACGGGACGAGGACGGAGACATTTAATGAGACACTGTTTGTGTTTTTATCCCTCGGCCTCTCAGCCAGGTCGGGGGGGAGGAGTCATGCCCGGGTATCCGAGTTCACCGATGGGAGGGAACCCGACGCCTCCGATGACCCCCGGAACCTCCATACCGCCCTACCTGTCCCCGGGTCAGGACACCAAACCCCCCTACCTCCCACCGGACACCAAACCCAGCATCATCTCCCAGCAGCCCCCTACAGGTGAGACGCAGAACTGCAGCTCGATTATTCTGCAGATCAAAGCTTCCTCACACTCTCACCTGTGTGTGTGTGTTTTTTCATCTCCAGGTAACCCGAGCGACGACCTGCGCCTGACGTTCCCGGTCCGAGACGGTGTGGTGTTGGAGCCGTTCAGACTGGAGCACAACCTCGCCGTCAGTAACCACGCCTTCCAGCTGAGAGACTCCGTCTACAAAACGCTAATGCTGAGGTAAATCAGACGTTTAGAAACACACAATCAATTACCGTAAAGTTTAAACTGTTTTCCTGCGTGACGATTTATATTGTGTTCAGCGATGTCTACAACCTGCAGTTCCTGTGCAGCTGTGTCGCTCTTAAAGTCCCGTCTTTTTTCACTTTCAGGAGTTTGCGCTCCTACTAGCTACAGTACGGTAGTTTAGCTCTCAGCCTGCAGGGAAAGTTGTGAGGCACAGACTCCTAGCTTGCGAGTCGAGCTGCCTGACTCCGCTGCTCACTCTTTAACTTTAATATAAGACTCTTTAGATCAAAAGAGAACTCCACAAGGTTTATTAACGGAACAATTTACCACTGTTTTCTGTAAATACATGATTATGACCTCGGGAGGAAGAAAAGATGTGATAAAAGTCACGCAGCCAGCCCGGTCTGTGTCGCCGTCTTTCCCAGCACAGCGTGCACTCAGCTTTCAATACACGAGGAATGGGGATGTGTTTTTAACATGGACTGTAAGGTTTTTAATCACTTCAGGTCGCAGTGATAGGGGCTGCGTCATTCTGTAATGACGGCGCGTGTTTCAGTATTTTTTACTGGTATATTGGTCGCACCGGTGTGTAAGACACAGCCGACTTTTAAGATGAGAAAATAGGTATTAAAAGTGCGTCTTATACACCGGATTTTATGGTAAGTATCTAAAATCCATCGATGTCCCGTACTGCACTGAAGCACGATCCCCCGCTGCACTCACACCGCTCCAGGACTAACCGGGCCTGAGCACGGTCACCTCTTGTTCATAACATTGTAATACAACACATGCATGTCTTTACAAGATCATGAAGCGTGCTTATTTTACAAGACAGATGGACTCGAGAAAATTAAAACGAGACGCGCAGTCGAGTCAGCGGTGACACTTTGTTTCTTATTTTGAGTCATTTTAATCAGATACAGCCGGAACACTCCATGATTTCATGAGTACGCCCTTAGAGCCCTCTTTTATTTCCAGTAATACTTAGGCAACATTTCCGTACTGAGACTTTATCAACATGTTTGTGCATTTTAAACAGAGTGCAGGAGTTTGCTTGTGATTTCTTAATGTGAGTTCAAAACAAGAAATGATCCAATTTGTTGAGCCGAAGACTTCTATTTTTGTTGCCTTGGTATCAAAACAGGTATTGATGTCGTCTGATTTTAAAATGTTAACACATCATGACGACCCTGCTCCTGAGAGGATAGTTGTTGGATTCAGGGATCCTCTGTGGAATCATTTTTTAAAAGGACAGTCACATTTTTAAGAAGCATTTCAAGGGTTTTTCATTAGATGCAAAAACAAAAGATTCTGTAAAACGTGAACCTTCATCAGAGATACTTTCTGTCATGAGGCATCAGAATAAAAATCACTTTTTTCTTCTCACAGGCTGAATGTGAGTGAGTAGGAGACATCCTGACGTTAGAATAAAGACTGTAGTAAAGGATATTTGGAAAACAAATACATGTCTTTTCTTTTGAATTCTTTGAAAACAGGTCCAGTCCATGTCTAACAAAGTGTTCCTTTATTTAATTAAGATGTAAATGATCTGCTGTAAATAATCCAACATGAAGAAATCTGTTCCCTAACGTGTAAACAAAGGAGAGATGAACTTCTTTGTGATTTATTTCTTATCTGTATCATCTTCAGAGTGATTTCAGAGCAGAGCACCTCTCTCTGGAGTGATTTCTTTTTTCATACAAAGAAAAACACCAGAAGAATAAAAACACACCAGGAATGTTTGATAACCCCACCCCAGTGTGAGCCTGATCATCTGTGCTGTGTCTCCCCCTGCAGGCCGGACCTGGAGTTACAGTTTAAGTGTTACCACCATGAAGACAGACAGATGAACACTAACTGGCCCGCCTCTGTGCAAGTAAGTTCCCCTCTGCGCTCTGATGAAGAGTTAGTAAGAAGGCCTTAAATACTTTTTAACTTGTTGTTTTAAAATCAGAATGAGAGCTGATTCTGCTTTGACCCCCCAGAGATTTAAATCCTGGATGCAGACTTTTCTGGGTTTTAATAATAACACAGAAATCTTGACGGTTTGTTTGATTTGCTCATGTTTTAAACCTTGAGGCTTGTTCAGTCCGTCTCCGCTCAGCAGGAGAGCTGATAGGTTTCACCTCAGTCCATGTGTGTGCAGCGCTGCGCCTCAGCTTCGCCCAACGCTGGAGCCACAAAAACGGCTCCTCGTTACTTTAACTCTCTCCTCCAGGTCTAAACTCCCTCCCCCCACTACGCTCTGCAAATGAAAGGCGTCTCATCCAACCTTCACAACAGGGTCCTAAGTCTCTGACTAGACTCTTCTCCTCTGTCGTCCCCCGGTGGTGGAATGAACTTCCAAACTCCATGTGATCTGCAGAGTCCAAAAAGCTAAAGACCCAGCTCTTTCATGAATACCTACAACTAGACATTTTATTGCTGGTACAGGACAGGCGGCGACCTCTGGTTTTAAAACATGAACTCGATACTGAAGTGTAAAATCCTGCAGTTCCCTGAGTGTCCACTAGAGGCTGGCTGCAGAAGCACAGGAAGTAACATACACACCCATTCAGAAAAGCCTGTTTTTACAGCAGAGATGAACATGTTTACAGCCTGGTTCAAAAAAACAAATAGGTGTGATTAGCTCATGTCTGGATGGACACACACTGTACGGGGGGTGAATGTTTTGATGACTCATCAGTTTTGATTTGATGAAGGATAAGAGTTATTCACAATAAGGCGTGCAGCTGACCTGATTGACAGGTGGGCGCGGTGTAACGGTTTGTCAGGAGGTTTAAAACCCGCCTCAGCTCCAGCTCTCAGCCTGTCGTTAGGTTGACTGAAAGTTAGACTGAGACAGCATTTCCAGCATGGAGACCGCCATCGATGGGACTCCAGCGCCCCCTGCAGGGACAGACGGGGGACGTTCATCCAATAATATTTACACTCTGTGTTACAGGCGCTGTAATGTAGAAACCGACCCCCCCCCCCCTCCCCCGTTAAAAAAATGTGACTTCATTATTAAAATGTAATTTTTTCTTCTTCTCCACAACCAACTGGCGACGCCCAGAAATTACCCCGTGACCCCCGCGGGGGTCGAGACCCCGAGGTTGAGAATCTCTGCTGTAAGGAACCGACATTTAAACTGGAATTTATAATGTGTTTAAAAATATATAAAATTTGAATTTTTCCTGTTCCGTAAATAAGTCTTGACTTTTTCTTTTTCTTCACTCTTTTTGTTCTTGACTCTCGTTTGTTCCTCGCCAAAGTGCTGAGACATCTTCTTCCTCTGTTGTTTTGAACAAAGATTAATTATTCTAATTATTTTTTACCTTCAGTCTCTGCATTGTTACACGTTAACTCCTTGGATTTAACTTTTTTATCAGTCTGCAGAAAAAGCAACAACAAGCGGCCATGAAAGCGTTGAAGTGAAGCGACCGGTCGTTTGATTCTGTCTCTTTTCTCCCGGCTGTATCAGGTCAGCGTGAACGCCACTCCTCTGTGCATCGAAAGAGGCGACAACAAAACGTCCCACAAGCCCCTCTACCTGAAGCAGGTGTGCCAACCAGGACGCAACACGGTGCAGATCACAGTCACCGCCTGCTGCTGCGTGAGTCTCCCACAATGCACCTCCTTATGTCTCACAGATGAGGATCCCGTGTTGAGGATGTTTTTTTGCCCTCCTCTCTCTCCGTAGTCTCACCTGTTTGTGCTGCAGCTGGTCCACCGGCCGTCTGTGCGCTCGGTGCTGCAGGGTTTGATGAAGAAGAGACTCCTGCCGGCCGAGCACTGCATCACCAAGAGTGAGGACAAAAACAAAAAACAAAACACTTCTAATAGAGCACAGTTCAACCGTTTCACCACTAGATGTCACTGTTGTTGTTTAGCTTTAAATAATAATAACAATAATAATAACTTTATTTAAACAAACAGCAAAAACAAGAACAAACTAAACCAAACACAGAAGAACATAAACAACAACAAGAACATAACAAATGCAAAATACTCAAAATAATTCAATACAATTCAACAGAAAAGAACCCAAAGTGCACGATAAATGAAGGCAGAAAGTTAAAACTAAACTTCCTGCAACAACAATTTGTGTTTATATCTAAGATTAACTTTCCAAATCAATTACTCAATCAATCAATCAATCAAACTTTATTTATATAGCAGCTTTCAGACAAATTAAATTTCAGTTCAGAGTGCAGAAAAGTTATTGATGAAAAAGTAGTTTATAAACTCATTGAGAGACTAATGCACACCAGTAAGAATTAAAAAAAAATATATATAAAAATGAAAAAATAAAATATGACACATAAAAGCAATAAGATATTAAAATTAATACATAGGAGAAGAATATTTAAAATTGTAGTAGGATAAAAATAGACAAAACAGTAATGTTAAGATTTGAATTTATATAAAAGCCAGACTGAATAAATGAGTTTCAAGATTGTGGGCTCCTCTCAGACCCTCAGGAAGGTCGTTCCACAGTCTCAGAGCGTAACAGCTGAAAGCAGCATCACCAAAGGTTTTTGTCCTGCTCTGTGGAACAACTAAAAATATCCTGAAGTCAAACCGATCTGTTCAACTTATTAGAATTATTTTAATTTATTTCACTAGAATTTGTCTTTTGCAGCTGACCAGCTGAAGATCTAACTTAGCTCAACCATTACGGCGTCTTTGTACATTTAAATTGATTCCGCCATGGTGTAATATATCACAGCAGAAGCTCCTCATACACACACGGTCAGACATGCACACACACACAGCGCTGCGCTCCCTCTGTTATGCCTCTGAAGGCAGGTGATCACATTACGCTTCTGCAACATTCAGATTTAAGACAAAATGCACAGGGGCGTTAATGTGGTGGCTTGAGGTGGCGGTCTGAAGAGGGTCTTAAACTGTGAATCTAGCATCAGAGAGCGATAGCGTGAGGGTTTAACCTTCCTTTCAATGTCTACGTCCAGCTGGTTCAACAAGGCGGCTGGAAAGTAAACAATGCCTTGTCGTTTTTTTTCAGTAAAGAGAAACTTCAGCAGCGGCACGATCCCCGGGACCCCCGGTCTGAACGGAGAGGACGGCGTGGAGCAGACGGCGATCAAAGTTTCTCTAAAATGTCCGATCACGTTCAGACGAATCCAGCTGCCGGCCAGAGGGCACGACTGCAGACACATACAGGTAGAGTCTGAAACACACACACACACACACACACGCACACGCACACGCACACGCACACACGCACACACACACTCACGCTGATGTCTTTTACGTTGCAGTGTTTCGACCTCGAGTCGTATCTGCAGCTCAACTGTGAACGAGGGACCTGGAGGTGTCCTGTGTGCAAGTACGTCCTACCTTTATACCTTCAGCCGCAGGTACACTGAACGACTTCAGGACGAATAAGAGGCACAACTGATTTGACCCTGTCTTAAGGCGGGAACAATGGCAGCTCACGGTCCAATCAGCTGCTCCCGACCGGTCGGATGAATTTCTGACTGTGGTAGGATCGTAACACTCGCACAGTGAGAGCAGAGCCTGAGGATTCCCTGACTTCAGAGCCTTAATGAAATCACCATGGCAACACGTCTGTTTGAAGTGTCCTCCCCCCCTCCAATGAAAAAGGGGGAAGTTAGCCGAGTAGTCCAGAGGCTGAAGACCTCAAAGCAGACGGACCGGGTTTGAATTCAACCTCTGGCTGCTTTCCCGCATGTCATTTCTCTCTCTCTCTCCCTCCCTCTCTCTCTCTCACTCTTTCTCTCTCTTTTCTTTCTCTCTCTTTCTCTGTCTCGCTCTCACTCTCTCTCTCTCTCTCACTCTTTCTCTCTCTCTTTTCTTTCTCTCTCTTTCTCTGTCTCGCTCTCACTCTCTCTGTCTCTCTTTCTCTGTCTCGCTCTCTCTCTCTCTCTGTCTCTCTCTCTTCCTCTCTCTCTCCCTCTCTCTCTCTCACGCTTTCTCTCTTTTCTTTCTCTCTCTTTCTCTGTCTGTCTCTCTCTGTCTCGCTCTCTCTCTCTCTCTCTCTCTCACACTTTCTCTCTCTCTTTTCTTTCTCTCTCTTTCTCTGTCTGTCTCTCTGTCTCGCTCTCTCTCTCTCCCTCTCTCTCTCTCACACTTTCTCTCTCTCTTTCTTTCTCTCTTTCTCTGTCTCGCTCTCACTCTCTCTGTCTCTTTCTCTGTCTCGCTCTCTCTCTCTCTCTGTCTCTCTCTCTTCCTCTCTCTCTCCCTCCCTCTCTCTCTCTCACGCTTTCTCTCTTTTCTTTCTCTCTCTTTCTCTGTCTGTCTGTCTCTCTCTCCCTCTCTCTCTCTCACACTTTCTCTCTCTTTCTCTTTCTCTCTCTTGCTCTTTCTCTCTCTCTCTCGTCCCAGTTTCCGACTGTCCTGTCTCTCCAATAAACGCAAAAACCCAAAAATAAATTTTAACCAAAAAATAAAAATCGTTCAGTGTACGTCCGGCCCTCGTTGCACTTTTTCATTTTATATTTTCTTCTTTTGTTTAACATGAATTTGATTCTTTCACAGTAAAACTGCTCTGCTAGAAGGTCTGGAGGTGGACCAGTACATGCTGGGGATTCTGGTCTACATCCAGAAGTAAGTCTGACACGAGGACCTGAAGTCTTTTATTGGTTTATTTAAAGTCCGGTGACTCATGGTTCTGCTCCCTCTTCAGCTCGGACTACGAGGAGATCACCATAGACCCGGTGTGCGGGTGGAGGCCGGTACCCGTCAAACCGGACCTGCACATAAAGGAGGAGCCCGACGGCCCGGTGCTGAAGCGCTGCCGGACCGTCAGCCCGAGTCACATGGTCCTGCCCAACGTGATGGAGATGATCGCCGCTCTGGGCCCGGCGTCGTCGCCGTACCAGAGTCTGACAGCAGGGGGCCGGAACACGCCGGACTACAACAGACCAGGTCGGATTCATGAGTTTAAGGAGTTTATTTCAGCTGTTTTTTACAAAAAGAGGAAGAACGAGCAAATTCATTATCGTTAGGTTAAGATTATTTTTCAGCTTTCAGCACGTTGTCACTTCATCAGCTGGTCGAGGTCATTTACGGCGCTCAGCAGCCTTCAGCGACAAAGCAGCCAGTTAGCCCGTCTCTGTACTGTTTGATACGACGGCTGAGACTCGGCTGAGTCTTCTCTCTCCTCGTCGAGCCTCAAGTTAGCTTCATAACTTTGAACCTCACAAACCGAACTCAACTAGCATAGCCTATAGTCGTCATGGTAACAGTTGAAAACACAAACACAAACTCCACACGCTAACAGTTAGCTTAAAGAACGTGCTGTAGGCGGTAGCAGAGTCAGATTTGATCAGTAATATTCCTGAAGCTCATCAGTCGACCTGGTTCTTTAGCTTCTCTCATGACGTCTTCTCCGCACTCTGATCGTCTACAAATGCACGCCGTCTGAGAGTGGGAGGAGTTATTACGTGTTTTATGACAGGGCGGTTGCACTCAGAGAACATCAAACCAAATGCTCACATATTGTTGCTTTACATCAGTGGACCCTCCACCAAGTGCTCTATGAGAAATAGCAACCCAGATTTTGGATATATTTCAACCAATCAGATTTATTTAAAGATTATTCTGCAGAATAACACAAACATATTTAAGAAGCTCTTCAAAGACTTCATAGGAACATTTGTGTGTTAAGCTGCTGTAAACATCTGAACCTTTGAACACAATGTGATCTAAATATAGACATGGAGCTCTCTGTAGCACCCGTCACTCAGCTTGTTTTCTCTTTGAGGGGAGGTGACCCAGAACGATATCTCAAGCTACCCCCCCCCCCCCCCCCCCCCCCTCCAGAGCTGGAAGCCTTTTCTCTCCCATGATGCTCGGTCACCGTCACACGACTTAAAACAGAAGCTGCACTCGACCTGCTTTTGATTTGTTGTATTTGTTTTGTTTTTTTGTCTCTCAGGGAGTCAGGGGTTCTCCAGCCAATCAGGATTCACAGACTTCCCCAACACGCCTGGCACCCCGACTCTTGGAGAGTACGCCTCCTCGGGACCTCCTCATCCTCCTCCGCTCCCCTATCAGTCTGAGCAGGTTAGACCCTCCCCCCCTCTCTCTTATATAACACATGTATGAGCAAACACACAGGAAGCATACATCCCTTTGTGTTTGTGATTTAGCCTCCGGTCACCATGGCGACGACGATGATCTGTTTTTTTCAGTTTAGTTCACTCCCCTGAAGGTTGAGAACACATCACTGAGAGTCAGAGCTTTAAAAGACCACTTCGCTTACATCACAGATAAAAAGAGAGTCAGAGGAATATTTTATGCAACTCAAAGTGAGGCGCATAACCCCCACACGGCCGTTTTGGACACCCCTCGGTTTGTCAGATATGAGAGCAGTTATCAGGTCAACAGGTGTTGCAGCGATGGAAGCGGTCAAGAGAAGTGGTTCAGATAGAAGTGATTGTACCCGACCTAAAAAGCCTCTGCATGTTTCTAATAAGCTCCACGAGCAGAAACGTGCTCAACCTAGGATCAATATTGGAGATGCTTTTGAAAAATGGAGAGAGGTTAGAACACAGAAAGGTTTACAGACCCATGCAGAGCTGGATAAACACTGAAGCTTCAGAGTCCACCACATGGTGACCTGAGTGAGCATCCACTCTAGAGAGGAGGGGGGGAGGACAGCTCTCTACAATGTTTTTAAAGGGGACAGCAGTACACATTTTAAACACTAGGTGTCAGAGTTACATTTTGCTCCTGTAAGTAAAGAAAGTTAGCTGTAGATACAGATCAATTTTCTGATTGTTTCACAGCCTGTGATGTTTATTTCTACAACACAAACCACCGCAATTTTGAAATGTGAGAAAAATGAGACCACTGTGGATTATTGTGGGCTCAGAACTATTAAATGCCAACATCGAATTGCCGATATCAGCAGTCCACCTCGTTTCCAGCAACAGGAGAAGAGAGCTCCAGAAAAACAAACATGACCCTGTGTTTGTTCTGCTGATGCGTCACCAGGCTGAGGCAGCGCCTGAGCAGTGTTGTGGTCGCAACAATTCTCTTTGCTCCCTCCATTCAGCTTCTGCACCGCCACCTGATCCAGCTAGACACCTGCCCACTGACACAGATACACGCCCACATACTGCAGGAGCCCATTTCATAATAAATATGACTCAGGGTCCTAACAGCAGGTTGTTGGCAGCTGAAAGAAACCGGGCTACATGCCAAGGTGTCCCATTACTTTTGTTCTTGAGGTAGGTTTTGGGTTTCTCAAGACCAGGATCAGGGCTCATCCTGGTTTCTAAAATCGGGATATGCACAAACACAAAAACAGGATACCTGACCAAAACAGAAATACACACGTCAACTTATTTTTTTGTGATAATACCGAGCACTTTGTTTTGCTAACCCGTCGCTCCTCTTCAGCTCCAACCTCTCGTCCACTTCAGGCTCCAGAACACCAACATGGCGAGCGCCAAACAGAGAGCTTCAAAAAGGCAGAAGACAAACAGAGCGGTGACATCAAAGTGGCTTTGCTCGATATTTATACAGTCTGTGTTTTCATGTTCTCTCCAACGGGTTCACCGAGCGCGCTCACATGAAGCAGCTCCTCCAGGTGAAGTCAGGACAGGTTCAGGACTCCTGACTGTCCTTTCCTTCTGGCTCCTGAGTCCAGTTAAGAGTTTTTAACTGGACCTGAAGTGGACCTGTTAACTTCACTCTGTCTGTCTGCAGCAGATGCTCGCTGTCTGCTGAAGGTTTTTTTTACAAAGAGATTAAAATGTCACACACGCCTGCTGTCCTGACTCTTCAGGAGAGACGACGAGGATCACACCTCACGATGTGTGAATTTAATTTAATCTTTATTCCATTCAAATAAAAAATGATCTTTTTTAAAAATCTGTGTCTCCTTCTGTTCTGTCACCATCAGACGTCTCACTCTGGAAGAATCGAACACTCCCACAGCATCCTCCAGCAGCACAGTTCAGGTGTTCACGGGAATCAGAGTCTCGGTGACGCCGGCAGTCCGCTACCTCAGCGGAACACCAACTCCCAGAGTTCCCGGCTGCAGAGCGAAGGTTCCTTTGGCCTGGGAGGCCCGGGAGCACCTGGAGGAGAGGGAGCCGATCATAGTCTAGATGTGAGTGGAAACCTGCTGATGATGTGTTCGGTTTTGTAAGATGAGACCTGAACGTGAGTTCAGCTTTTAAGTTCTTTATGGAATAGTGAACGAGTTTGATTTGGGAATCTCAAGAAAGAATCCAAAGTCAAATCAAACTTCTTTCAGCTTGAAACTCCTCTTTTTAAAAAGAGCTTCAGATGAATTAGTTTAATTAATCAGTTTAGTTCAGATCTTTATTGTCCCTGGAAGAGAAATTTGATTTGCAGCATTGGACACAAAAACACAAAAACACAACAGATAAACAGACAAAGGACAGTACAACGCAACCTGATGAAATACAACCAAGAAATATAAAATATAAAACTCTGTTCGTTAACAAGTTTCACTCAAATGGTATAAATAAATAAATATAAAGTCCAATAGCTCTGCTTGAAAGTGCAGTCAAGGACTTAAAGAAGATTAAGAGCATTAATTGCACGAGGAACATATGAACATTTATATCTGTTTGCCTTAGCCCTGGGCAGCCTGAACCTTCGTCTCTGAAGGCCCTTTTTGCAGATTGCATCTGTGTTCTTGTCATGATTGAATTTTTTGTCAATCACAGTGCCCAGGTACTTGTAACATTCAACATTCTCCACAGGTGTACCTTCGATCATAGGTGGGGAGGTTGAGTGGGAGATTTTCCGAAAATCAATGACCATCTCTTTTGTCCTCATGCTTGTTTGATCTGTACAGAAACTCTATTGTACTTTGGTACGGGGAAACGGGGCCTAGCGTCAGAGCACCCTTACACTAAAGTTAAAGTCGGACATGTATCGATCATTGTTTTGTTTGACGAGTTAACCCTGCTGTTCCCGCCCCGACCCAACATACCTGTTTCTTATACAGAGGCTTTTAACACCTGTAACACTGCGTCTAAATCTCACTTATTTCTTTTGTTTTTTTGTTCTTTACCCGTCTCTCCGTGAAGCTTCTTCCTGAGCTGACCAACCCGGACGAGCTGCTGTCGTACCTCGGCCCCCCTGACCTCCCCAACAACAGCAGCGACGACCTGCTGTCTCTGTTCGAGAACAACTGAGCGCCTTCAGGCGTCACGCCGCTCATCTTCCAGCTCGAACCTCTCTGCTCCTGTCTGCTGTAGCCCCGCCTCCATCAGTTAAAAAAACAGCACTGTGTGTGTGTGTGTGTGTGTGTGTGTGTGTGTGTGTGTGTGTGTGTGTGTGTGTGTGTGTGTGTGTGTGTGTGTGTGTGTGTGTGTGTGTGTGTGTGTGTGTGTGTGTGTGTGTGTGTGTGTGTGTGTGTGTCGCCCTGCTGTACTTGGACGTTGTTTCAGTGCAGATTTCAGGAGCAGGAGGGAAAACATGTGAACACTGTTTGTGATGAAGAACTGAACAGAACACAGCACTGACTCTGCAGACCAGCATCTTTAGCTACAGCACAAAACCCACGGGCTGAAGGATGTGAAAATACAGGAGATAATTTATACATTTTATGGGTAAAAGGAGAACACAATGGAGGAGTTTCAGACGTTTGATTACAGTGGTTCCCAAACTGTTTCTTTTTTCTAGGAGTAGCAGAGAGAACTCCCATGATTCCCCGCTAGCCTCAACTTCATCTTTTGTTATTGTAGTATTGCTTGAGAGCCTCCTAGTGGCTGAATCTACATATTGTATCTTAAAGCCTGGAAGCTGGAAATAATGCCACAAAATCACTTCATACATTATGCACTAGTGCAACTCACCGTACGTCTTCAATCAGAGCTCGTTTGTTTCATATTCAGGTGTAGTTCACGTCCTCACTGAGGCAGCGATCAGACCTGACCTGCCACATCGGTTTGAAGTGTTGCAGCAGTCGTTGGCCTCATTGTGTCTTCTGTTGTACCTCGGCTCATTCATAAACTACTAAAATGTACTTTCACAAACTTCTCTCGCAGCTTTTTAAAAAACTCTCCGACCTCGAGGTGACCCTCCCAGTTTGGGCGCCACTGTAGAACACTTAGAGACGTGTGATGTTGTATTTTTCTTACTGTCAATGACTCCCTGGAGGAAAAAGTTAAAACACAGTATCTGAGTCTGTTCCAACTTAGAGAAACCTATCTGGGTACTTTGCCCAGCCGATGCAAGCGCCGCCCCTTCCTGGGTGAAAACATCCCATCTACCTGAATGGAGGTGAATGGAAAAGACGGGCTCTCAAGAGATTTAAAAGCTTAAAAGTTTTATGTATGACGAGGAGCTGAAACCCGACGAGCAGTGATGTAAACATGTAAATGATTTTTCTGAACAGGCGGGCATCATGACATTATAAAATAAACACACATACAGGTTTACAGGAGTGTCTCTTCAGTCTCTCTCAAACTGTTCCAGAGGAGTCTGAACCCGACATCCCACACCTGATGTGTGAACATCAACCATGCTACCTTAGCGGGATCTGCACTTTTAAATAGTATTTCTTTGTAATTGTTTCTAGCTGCTGCTGTCACAGCTAGGACGCCCGCTCAGAAATAGGCTAACACAAATCAGATGAATGAATGAATTCTTTTCTTATCTTATGCTATCAAAAAATAAGCGTTAGCATTCAGCCACTTCTTAGCCAACATTTTAGTAAGCTAACACTTACGTAAGCTAGGAAGTTATTCCTTTCCATTTAAAACGCTCAAAAGCTACCATTAGCATTCAGCCATTTCATAGCTAACATTTACCAGATCTTGGAAGCTAGACAACAGTTTAGCTAACGTAAATGTAAGCTAAGTAATTCACTCCTCTCCTATGCTATCAAAAAGCAATGTTAGCATTCAGCCAGCTAACACTTACGTAAGCTATGAATTTACTCCTTTCCATTTGAAACTTTACAAAAAATCGTCCATTAATATTCAGCCATTTCATTGCTAACATTTACTTTATCTTGGAAACTAGTCTAGAAATAAGCTAACACAAAAGTTTGCTAGGAAGTTAATCCTCTCCTAGCTAGCAAAAGGTAACCATTCAGCCCCTTTCTTCTTCTTCTAAAATCCACGTAGCAATGAGGTGGCCTAATGCTAACCATAGCTGAGAAGCTACTCAAATATGCTGTTTAAACTTCAAATATGGCGTGATGCTCCTTTAGATTTCACTCACTCTTACGGCTGGTTAAACTGAAAGCGGTAACATGATAATATTTTGTCCAGCTAACTTAAAAATTATTCCGATTTAAAACCTCGGGCACAGAAGGAAATTAGCTGTCGTATTTATGTTTGAGTTATTAGAAACATCTGGTTTAAGTCTTTCATGGGATTTGTTGGCAGTAAGAAAATATATAATATCTTCTTTTATATATGTAAGATACAGGCGGTTAAAGGGGTCAAGTTTCTTTCTACTGATTTTTACTGAATACAAAATAGAGAAAAGATTCAAATAAGACCTTTAAAAAAAAAAAAAGGAAAGCCCGGCCTGTGAATGCGATGCCCGGATGTAACATAGACTTCTTTTTTTTTTTTTTTTTACTCCGCTGAGGTTCATTGTATCTCTGACGTCCTTCAGCACTGTGAACAATATAAAAACTCCTCTCCGTTACGCTCGCCCTCTATTGGGGGATTTTTCAGCATACTGTAAATGAGATCTGTGTGTCGTGGCATTTTTCTGCCATTTGAGAGTTTTTAGTTTGTTTTTTTTTCCGATCGTTTGAAATGTATAACCCATCATGACACAGGGTTTGTGTACTGTATAATTAGCTGTTTTCATTAGAGAACGTGTGTGTATCAAATGAATTGTTAACCATGGTCATTTTTATTGTTATTAGTTGGATAATGGATCATTGTTGGCACTGTATACATACATGTATGTTAGAAATCTATAAAGCAAATTGTACATCAGAAAACAGTCAGCTGATATTGACTAACACGGTTAAAGACACAGAAATTATTCTTAATACCACTTTTTAAAGCTGACCGTGTTTTCTACGAAGACTTGCTGTCCGACGTTTCCCGAGTGAAGGCAACGTGATAAAAATGAAAAACTAATTGAGCTTCACAGAAATCTTATATTTGGAAATGATGAACCATTTAAGTGCAAATTTGCTACAACAAAAAAGCATTTTTTTTTAAAATGTGTAAACTATTCCACATATTTTGTAACACATTGTAATTGCCATTATTTTCTATTTATTTTTTAATCATAATCGTCATTGTACTTACAGTTACCTTGTCCCCGCCCTGGATCTTCAATTCAGAATTAAAAAATCACTTTATTTGATTTTTTCCTGCTTTTTTCATTTAATTAATTTCTACAATTAAAGGACGTTTTACAGATCACAGGAACGCTGGATTAGAACCTGGAAAATGTATTTTTCATTTTATGGTGAAAAAGCCGGTGAGCGACTGCAACTTTTTGGGCAAGACGTGAGGCGACGTCAGTCGGCGCCACAGGCGGCCTTCGTCGCCAATAGTTCTTTGCCGTCTGCTTGGTGTGTCAGGGTCTTAAAACAGAACTAACACCGAGCGGGAGAGACATGCCACAGGAAATTGTGATAGGAAAATGGTGTAGCCTAAATAAAATGTATGGATGTGTGTCCGCTTTGGGCTTCCGTAAAAACATACAAAAGTGTATGTTTTAGTATATTTTCACAGATATTTAGAAGAGTTAAGTTATCCAGGGGCATAAAATGCTCCAACCACTGTGGTATTTTAAACCCCCATAAAACTTCTAAAAATTGTCACGTTTTGATTTGAAAAGTACGGAGCCCCGGAAGTCCCAAAAAATAAAACAAATAAATAAATAAATACATCTCGTGAGCGCAAGTTATCATCTAGATATTAGTAATATCAGTGTAGAAATGTTTGAAATAACTATAATTAAAGCTAAATACCATTAAATAATGATGATTATTTGAAAAGCGTTTCATAAAACCGCTTTGAATACATTTCCCAGCCCACTGTGAAAGATCTTTACAGTTCAAATGTACTCACCCTGCGTGAGTTAGTAACACCACTCTGTTTATCTCTTTGATGTTCATTGAACTCACCTGATATTTTAGATAAATCGGATTTTTAAACCTTTTGTAAACGAACTCCTCCAACAGCAGAAACCGGCCAACTCCGCTCTAACGGGTTGCCATGGAGACCTCTCACCAGGTTCCCGCCCTTCACTCCCAAACCTCGCCTTCTCTTCATTCCTATTGGTTCATCCTTGCGAACGTTAGAAGATCCCCGGTTGTGATTGGCCCTCGCCTGTCCTTCCATCCAGCGGATACATAGAGGCACGGACTGAAATAGATTCAGTGTTCTCACGGCGCTGTCAGGGAGCGTTTGATTATTTCGGTGAAAAACGCCTTAAAGAAGCGTTTAAAAACATGGGAAACCCGAAAGTTTTCTTCGACATCACTATTGATGGAGCTAACGCCGGCAGGATTGTAATGGAGGTAAGATAAACAGCCCAATACTTACTTTTTATTTGTTATTTATGACTTTTTTAATCGACTAGTAGAGACATTAGCATCCATCAACACCTGCTAGCTCTAACAGTCTTCTCTCCTGCACCTTCAACGCCTTCTTTTTGATCGCTTCAGTCATATAGTTATTAATTATATACCTGTATTTAATAGGATTAATTAAATAAGAACAGATAACAGCAATTACATCATAGAGAAATCCTCCAGAGAGCTGGTGCCTGGATGGAAACGCCCATCATCATCATCACCATCTTCATCTTCATCATCATCATCACCATCTTCATCTTCATCTTCTTCATCATCATCATCATCATCATCATCATCATGTTCTCAGCAGCAGCCAGGCTACATGATGGAGCTGTAGTTATTTATAAAGAGCAGGTCAGGCTGTAAATCACAGGAGATGATTATCTAATGAGCCCCCTCCTCTGAAAACATCACAATTACTTCATTTACTGTCTGACATATGAACTAATCCAAAATACTGATTCACATATCAAATCACATATTTGATGCAAAATCTCCGTTTTTTTCAGCAGAATCTGCATTTTTTAAAATCTTTAATCTTATCTAATAATAATAATAATAATAATAATAATGATAATAATAATAATAACTTTATTTCTATAGCACCTTTTAAAAACACAGGTTTACAAAGTGCTTTGACAAACAGCAAAAACAAGAACAAACTAAAGCAAACACAGAAGAACATAAACAACAACAAGAACATAACAAATGTAAAATACTAAAAATAATGAAATACAATTCAACAGAAAAGAACCCAAAGTGCACGATACCCAACAGACATATAGAACCAGACCATCACAAGAACCATCACAAGAACCATCATAAGAACCATCACAAGAACCATCATAAGAATCATCACAATAACCATTATAAGAACCAACACAAGAACCATCACAAGAACCATCACAAGAACCATCATAAGAGCCATCACAATAACCATTATAAGAACCATCACAAGAACCATCACAAGAACCATCACAAGAACCATCACAAGAACCATCATAAGAGCCATCACAATAACCATTATAAGAACCAACACAAGAACCATCACAAGAACCATCACAAGAACCATCACAATAACCATTATAAGAACCATCACAAGAACCATCACAAGAACCATCACAAGAACCATCATAAGAACCATCACAAGAACCATCACAATAACCATTATAAGAACCAACACAAGAACCATCACAAGAACCATCACAAGAACCATCACAATAACCATTATAAGAACCATCACAAGAACCATCACAAGAACCATCACAAGAACCATCACAAGAACCATCACAAGAACCATCACAATAACCATTATAAGAACCATCACAAGAACCATCACAAGAACCATCACAAGAACCATCACAAGAACCATCATAAGAGCCATCACAATAACCATTATAAGAACCAACACAAGAACCATCACAAGAACCATCACAAGAACCATCACAAGAACCAACACAAGAACCATCACAATAACCATTATAAGAACCATCACAAGAACCATCATAAGAACCATCATAAGAGCCATCACAAGAACCATCACAAGAACCATCACAAGAACCATCATAAGAACCATCACAAGAACCATCACAAGAACCATCATAAGAACCCAGGCAACACAAGAACCATCACAAGAACCATCACAAGAACCATCACAAGAACCATCATAAGAACCATCACAAGAACCATCATAAGAACCATCACAAGAACCATCATAAGAACCAACACAAGAACCAACACAAGAACCATCATAAGAACCATCATAAGAACCCAACAACACGAGCTGAGACCAAAGAGGAACCAAAGATTTAAAAAGATGTAAGAAACTAAAAGAGATAAAAGTAAATAAAAAGAGAACAGCAATAAGAAGGTAAGAGCAGGAAAAGAAATAGAAACAAGTGAATCAATTATCAAAAAAAACCAATATAATAATATATATATAATATTAATAAAAATAAAAAGTATATATACATATAAAAGATAAATAGACAAAGTAAGTAAGATAAAAAATGACCAAGTTAAAACATAAGAGGAGTTAAGATAAGAGCATAAATAAAAGGACAGTAAGAAGTAAAAGAAGATAAAAATAGTTAAACCAGTAAGAAAAGACTTTAAGAAGATGACATCACATAAAAGCAAGTCTGTAAAAGTACGTTTTAAGAAGGGATTTAAAAGAATTGAGGTACTAATGTGATACTAAAGTTCTAAAGTACTAAAGTTCTGTGTGTTATTTGGGTCATATATTTTCTGACCATTAAGATGATTAATTAAATCACTAAGCACAATATTTTATAGACAAAAAACTGAACTTTAAAGCTTCACACCTGCCTGCTTGTGTTGTTTCATCAGCAGAAATTAAAAAGTTTTCCTGTATTTTTGAGCCTTTGGGTATTAATAACCTGAGGTGCAATAAGAGAAGTTAGAAACAAGAAAACATATTTATATTTTCATTTCATTGTACAGTGTTCCCCTTCGTTATTTTTTTTTGTATTATATCTTTGCTTTAATACAGTGTATAGCTTCTGTACAGTTTATTTTAAATCACTTAGCTGTTAATACAACTTTTTATTTTTACTTTTCTTCTTATAATGCTATTCTATTTTATATATCATTTTTACTTTTTTTTTGTAGAAGCTGACTCAGGGGGAAACGCACAAGAATTCCAATGTACCTGTACTGTCCTGTACCTGTGCAAATAGCAATAAACATCTATTCTATTCTATTTTTCCTTTAATTCCCCCTAACTTCAACATCTTTGTTTCTGCAGCTGCGGGCTGATGTGGTCCCAAAGACTGCAGGTAGGTAAGCTTTGACATTATCAAGCATTGCTGTTGTTGTTTATCTCCAAAGACTTAAATTAGAATTATGTTTGGTCGGTGGGAAATGATGCGTCCTCGATAATCCTCAGCGGAGAGTTGCTTCTGAATGTGGGTCGAGGCTGTGGGTGCAGCAGGCTGTGAAATTATTCATCAAAAGAACCTGAATGTCAGTGTTCCCAGTGACACAAAGAGATCCAAAAGTTAACTCTTAAGAAGACGCAAAATAAAGCACTTCACAAAAGAGCAGACAGGAAATTAAAACAGCAATTCACTATAAGACTCTAAAAGACTAAAATGGGAGAGTGGGAATAACATAATAAAACATCAAATAAAAGTGAATACAGAAGATACAAATAAAGTATAAAGGAATGAAAAAAAGAAAAACAATGATATCAAAAAAAACTCCCAAAAGTTACCCTGAGACGCTTTACAGAAGAGCAGGTTAAAGACCCGGATCGCTGGAGAGGTGCCAGGTCACTCCCTGAGTACTGTTGAGGGGTCCTTTAGAAAGGCATCGAACCCCCAACCAACGCGGGTTTGATAAAGCCCCGACCTGCGTCCCATCAGCATTAGGCCACAAATCCCCCCTTTCCATCCACAGCCACCTGGAGGCTTTCTCTGCTGCCTCCATTACCGTCCTGATGGTTCTCCTCAGTGACCCTCTCGTGCCCTGCAGGGTGTAGACTCTGCAGAGAGAGAGAGCGGCCTGCAAAGCCTCTGCTGCCTACCAGAGCAACAGTTTGCTTTCCACCCTCGTCTCCGGCTATCCTCAAGAAGTCCCTGGTCAAAAGCCTCCTCAATACGGCCATCACCAGTGCACAGTCAAGTCTATCAAGGCAAGCTGTCTCTGATAAAATGACGATATCTGGTCACAATGATGCATCTTTGCATCAAAGGAGACTAACTATGTACAATAAATTAGGAATATGTTGTCTTGTCCTGAGATTCTTTCTCATCATGTTATTGCTTTAATCGTAATTTCTAGCTAAGCTGCAAACACTGAGGGTTCAACATTATATTCATATTAACATTTTGCCTTTTACTCCATAGCATCTATTAAAAGAAAACAGTTCTTCTCTTTAATACCTGAGACCAAAACGTCTTTTATTTTGATCCTAAAGAGGAATCAGAGACGACTCATTATGTTGCTCTAGAGTTCACCAGGAAGCGACCTCAGTCAGCAGTCGAGGATTGATTACTGAACCTGCCCACTGGGAGCAGTGGAAGGGGCTTAAGGAGTGAAAGGGTCCATGGGGGATCATATCTTGCATAATTAATAACGGCTGGTAGAATCAATGTGCAGAGGAGAGTGGGTGTGTTTCTGCAGTGATGGTAGGAAGCATTGGACCGGGGTCAGGATGTCATGGACTCAAAGCTTCAGGAGTTTACTGAGAGTCACGATTCAACTGAGCTGCTAAACGTTCTCCAAGAGGCTCCAAAACAGAACTCAAGAGAAGCTCAAAGTTTCCGAATGCTAAGAGATTCAACACAACACATAGACACTCAAAACAACCACAAATACAAAAAAAAAACAACTACAAGAAGACAAGAATCCATCATGGCAGGCACTACACACTGTCTTAAGCCCTTTTCAGACCGCTTTTTTTCTACTATCTCAGCCGTCATCACATCTTTGTACAGTCATATTGATTCAGTGGCGGCGTGATATTGGAGCTCCACATACACACAGTCAGGCATGCACACACACACACACACACACTGATCCCGTCTCTCCTCTGTTACTACCTCCGAAGACGGTATAGACGGGGGGGTCACTTCATCCCCCCATCACGCCTCTGGGACATTCAGATTGAGGGAGTAATGTCACAGGGGCGTCAAACGGCCCTTTGCATATCGTGCAGCAATTCATGATATTTTGGGTGCTGGTGGTGAAAAATGAGCACAAAGAGAAGCAAGGTGACTACAAACAGACGCAACAGGACTACAAATGTCATGCTAGCTGTAGCTAAGAATAAAAAGCAGTATTCTAGGTACAGGATCAAATTCACAAACTGCTTTCTTTCATTAAGTGAGATATAAACCAGGACTTAATTTTGTTGTGAAGATCATCTACTGACTGACATTGTCTTTCTTTTATAGAAAACTTCCGCGCTCTGTGCACCGGAGAGAAAGGCTTTGGCTACAAAGGCTCCTCGTTTCACCGCGTCATCCCTAAATTCATGTGTCAGGTGCAGTGAAGACGAGATGATATGTTGTGTGTTTAAAAAAAAAAAAAGAGCTGGAAGTCAGAGCGTTCCTTTTTGTTCTGCAGGGCGGGGACTTTACCAACCACAATGGAACCGGAGGCAAGTCCATCTTCGGGGAGAAGTTCGCCGATGAGAACTTCCAGCTGAAGCACAAAGGCCTGGGCACGCTGTCCATGGCCAACGCCGGGCCCAACACCAACGGGTCCCAGTTCTTCATCTGCACGGCCAACACTGACTGGTGAGCTCGCTCACTCGCTGACCCACATTCTGCCTCATTCATCGTCTGTTTCCGTCTTGTTTCAGAGCGTTCCCCCTCTCATGCTAATCAGCTGCTCTCCTCTGCAGGCTGAACGGGAAGCACGTGGTGTTCGGCAGCGTTGTGGAGGGCATCGATGTTGTCAAGGCGATGGATAAACAAGGCACAAAGAGCGGCACTCCTAAAGCCAAGGTTGTCATTGCCGACTGTGGGGAACTGAATTAGTGCAACAAAGCTCCTTCAGTCCGTCAGACGTCTCCTCGACCCTCCACGTTCACGTCAACCCTCTCAGAATGTGTGTTAATATCGATCCTGTGATATTTTGTACCTCTCAGTCTGCTCTTTAACAAAAATCTGAATAAAGTGTTGGTGTAAATAAATCGCCCTGACGGCTCACTCTGTGCTTTAAAGAACGCCCACGTCTCTCTTCAAGTTAATGATGACAAATTGTTGGCGTTATTATTTTTTTTAAGCACTCTTTAACAGTAAGGTCTATTTCGATGTTATTGCTGTTCACACATTTAGCCACAAGGGGTCATGATTACAGAAGAATAGAAAGCCTTTATTATCATCATATCTCTCGAGTAGACAGAGCTCCCCCAACCTTCAGCGAGGTGATCTGTCACTACTACCACCCGACGTCCCTGACTCCCAGCCTCCACCATCAGACTGTGACGTCCCCTAAACCACCTCCGTCCTCATTCATGCACGGCCTGCTCCGACCTCCACCTCAGCGGAGAGGATTGTGTGGCACCTGGAGTGCGAGAAATCCTTCCTGCATATTATCCCATATGCTCTTTTGAAAATTGTGTCGAGGTAACACTTCTTCAGGTGATATTAGGATGACTGTCATCGTCTTAATGTGACTTTAAGTTCTGAGAAGAAAGTAAGCACTTTGAGAATAAACTTAATATGTTGAGAATAACATTGAAATACAACTTATACAAAGAAATAGCAGAAGCTTAATGAACTCTAATCTTCATCTGTAGATTTTCAGATCAGCCTCAGGGGTCCACAGAGACAACGAGGATCCTTTAAAGGATGCTTCCCTTGAATTGAGACGCAGCTACTGTTAATCATGCAGGACGTGTGCCTGGGATCAGTGTCGAGCCCTACCCACCAGAGGCTGGTAGGTTGGTGCATAAACCTGCAGGGAGGGTATGATCTGAAGTACACGTTTCTCGCTGTACTTCTATCCTCCTTTCTCTTTAACCTGACTGTCCCAGTGGGGTGCACTCAGCCCTGAGTAGACTTGGCATAATGTTCATTTAAACAGAAGTGGTGGAGTGTGAACACTAATGTGTTATGCAACTTCACTTCCTTCTTAATACTTAAGTTTAGTAACTCGCCTTTGCTGATTGGCTCAATTCTACCAAACAAGAAAAGAAGTTCAGACAGCCTTGAAACCAAGCAGAGCTAAAAGGTGCACCGTCCCCCCCTCCCCCGCCTCCTAACCTGAGTCACATTTCTGTGTCTGCCCTGCAGATAATTTCCTCACATTCAGCTTATCCAAGTTGTTTTGGCGCCTTCCTGTTCGAGCCTCTCCAACCAGCCTGGACCTGTATCTGCCCTCCTGTGTGACTTGATTAATAACGAGCGGCTGGAATCATTCTGCTGTCTTGACTGTCAGAGTTAGGGATCTCTCTCTGTTCCTGTGGAGGCTCTATCAGTACTTTTACTCCACTTTCACTGGTGTTGATCTTTGCCTCTCTTTTAGACACTGCAGTACCTCGATGTCGCTTTGCGTCCTGTTATGGTTCCCAGTCTTCTGAAGTGTATTTTTACCCCGCAGGTCACACCTACACATTCACACACTGATGGTAGAGGCTGCTGAGTAGAGTCCGTCAGTATTAACTCATCCATTCATACACATTTACTCGCCACCGTCACAGCAGCAGCGGCAACTTGGGGTTAAGTGTCTTGTCTCGACGTGCCTGCAGGAGCTGGGGATCGAACCCCCCCGACCTTCTGGTTGAGAGACGACCGACTCTCCCAACTGAGCCACAGCCGCATGTAGTTTTTGTAAGTAGTGTTCGGAAAAAAATATGACCCTGCTTTCTTTTATCAGGTAAACAAATCACTCCACCTGAAACTGAAAAGGTTCATGCACGGGGACACAACGTGGACAGCCTTCATTTTGGAGAAATCCCGGAGTGTTCCGTCTTTATCCGACTAACATGACTCAGAATAAGACACAAAGTAAAGCAGCTGTCATGTTCTCTGATGTGTGGACGCAGACCCAACTGCGGGTCCCTTTTTTTTTTCTCGAGCCCGTCTGTCTTGTAAACTGAGCACGCTTCATGATTACATAAAGTCATGCATGTGTTGTATTACGACCTTATGTACAAGAGGTAAACATGCTCAGGCCCGGTTAGTCCTGGAGCGGTGTGAGTGCAGACCAGCGGGGGAATGGGGAGGGGGGACAACTGTGCTAAAACACAGTACAGGACAACTTTGCTAATGTGAGTAGGGTTAGGGGTCCACAAGTGCATGTGTGAACAGAGGTATAGTGGTGTCAGTATTGCTGTCTGTTTCATAACCTGCTGAAAATCTCCTCACAGGAGCCTTAAATTAAGAATTTAAGTTAAACCACTCTCAGTCACGATACTTTTCCATTCCGAGAGAAGTTAAAGAACTCACTTCTAATCTGTCTTTATAAAGACCTTTAAACCTCATCCAGTACTTTTGGGGAAGTTGATTCCAACACGTCTGCACACGAGTTCTTTCACAACGCTGAGCTGCACCACAGAAACCTGTCAGATGAGTCACCGCCCCGCCTTCCACTGATCGCCCTTCACTTGAAACCCCGCCCCTTAGTCTCTCCTATTGGTCCGTTCTCAGGCCTCTACTCCACCGACCTTTAGACCTACATGATTACAGACATAAAAAACTTCTCCTCTGCATTGTCTGGGATTCCTTCAGGTGCTTTTCTTTCATCTCCGTCTCACAACTAGTTCAAAGAAAATGGCAAAGCCCAAAGTTTTCTTCGATATCAATATTGATCGCGCGCCGGTTGGGAGGATTGTAATGGAGGTAGGATAATTCTTTGATTATTCACTAAGCATTTCTTATCTCTCTTTGTTTGAGGTTTGAAACAAGCTGCAAGAATATCTTTGACATCGATTTGTGTGATTTGTGTTTTGCAGCTACGAGCTGATGTGGTCCCAAAGACTGCAGGTAGGTGAACTTCATTAGTAACCCTGCATGCAGTATTAACCCCAGAGCCTCTGCCCGGGTTTTTTCCACACACCCAAAATAGGTTCATGTATGGTTGGGGATTTTTTTTACTTCTCTGTGGGTGAGGCCGGATTTAAGAGCCTGTAGAACCAGTTTCAGAGCCAAACAAAGGCGCCAGGGCTGCTGTCATAAAGTACGAGAGACAAGAGAGAGAGAGAGAGAGAGAGAGAGAGAGAGGACAAATAAACAGGAAATGAAAATGCATCGGCCATTCCCATCAAGGGGTTGACAGGAATTGGAGTTGTTTGCTCTGTCTTGTAACTGTTATGCAACTTCCAGCGAGAATAAAAAATGCCTGATTTATTACTAAAGTGCAGAGATTTTGTTTTACCCATGAATACATGAATGCATTTTTGTACAGTTTCAATATGTGCACAGATACTGCACTGGTTGCATACTGGTGGAAGGATATTAACTACACCACCCTCTCCCAATCACTTGCAATGAATTTTCCTGAATATCAGCGCTTTCTGACTTGGCCCCCTCTCTGGAAGGGCTCGGGTGTCTCAGTCTTTCTCGCTCCATGTCCTATTGTTTACGGTGAGAAGGCAGACTCAGAGGGCAGAACAAACACCTAGCTGTGGGAGTGTCACCCACCTGGGGGAGGGGCTACTGGAGCAGGGAGAAGACGGAGAGGATGGACTTTGCTAATCATTGGGGGATTTGTAGACGGACTAGAGACACAAATTAGAGTTAGAGACACTTGGGGAAGAGGATTTTACATAATATCTGACCTTTAAATTTTGCAATTGTCTTTCTTTTACAGAAAACTTCCGCGCTCTGTGCACTGGAGAGAAAGGTTTTGGCTACAAAGGCTCCAAATTTCACCGCATCATCCCAGGATTCATGTGTCAGGTACAGTGACGGCTTCAGACTTCGACAGAGCTTACACATTTTAAAACCCTTGCAACGTATGCTTTATCATCCCAATTTGTGTTCCAGGGCGGGGACTTTACCAACCACAATGGAACCGGGGGCAAATCCATCTACGGGGAGAAGTTTGCTGATGAGAACTTCCAGCTGGAGCACACTTGTAAGTACACACTGTCCATGGCGAACGCAGGGCCCAACACCAACGGATCCCAGTTCTTCATCTGCACGGCTAAAACTTCCTGGTGAGTTCCAATATAAACCATGTATTGCTCGTTTAGGGTTCAACAGTGTCAAGTTGTTTAAAATATTTGACTTTCCTCCTCAGGCTGGACGGGAAGCATGTGGTGTTTGGCAGCGTTGTGGAGGGCACGGATGTTGTAGACAAAATGGAAAAAAAAGGCACCAAAGGGGAAGGCAAGACTACAGCTACGGTTGAAATTGCCGACTGTGGACAACTTTAATCCAACAACTGCCTGCTTTCTTCTTAGAGATATCTGCAGTGTCTGTAGAAAACACAGGATGAACCCAATTTCTTGTTTTAAAAAAACTTTATTTACTGTGTTTATATTCATGGTGTCACAATTTGTAATCTTTCCTTCAGGGACCTCATTGGTTAGAAAAATTTAAATAAAAGTATTTGATCCTGTTGGTTGTTCTTTAATCTTCAAATTAAAATAAGCAAAACCTGGGGCTTGGGAACTCCTTAACCCTTTGACTTCCACACTAAGAAATCCATTTGCAAAAAATTATTTGTTGGTAAAATTGTGTTCCTGCTACTTCATTAAGCAACATTTCAGGTTATATTTTTTAGATTACCCAATCAGGAAGCAGATATGCAGGTCAACCAGCTGGTTGCCTGTTTAGGGTTACTTTGGATATGAATGGATTTCTTTCATTTCTGCAACAAAATGTTTAGTTTTTTCATATATAAACATCACAGAGAGTAGAACTTAAAAAATAATCTATAATTTATTTAACAAACTGAATGAGTAGCAATGGTTAGAAAAGGAGAAAAAATAAGAAATGAGTGACTTGAGCCAGGCCGTTTGCGTAGACCGGCAACTCAACCGAGCGGTCAACCATGTTTTCTGAGGAATCGTAGATATATATTTTATTGTCAAATTTATTTCCTTCAACTAAAATATGATTGTTAGAGGGTGTATAAATGATATGTGAAAAGATTTTTTTTTTACCCGGATGTTTGCTCTTGTTCTGTGAGATTTCTGAGGAGCTGTTCAGCGCCAAGTCACTCCCGGTATTTTCCACAGTTTTAAGACAATGATAATTATGTACAGCAGCGCCACCTATTGGACATAATCAGGGTTACATACACTATTCAATGAGGTGAATGAGGATAAACAGCCAAAGATAGGTTTTCAGAGTTTTAAATACAGCCATATGGCGGCGGAAAAAAGGTCAACCGAGTGGTTACAATGCAAGTTAAAGGGTTAAGGAGGAGCTAGAAAACACTGCTGGGGAGAGCGACGTCTGTGGCAATGCAAAGTGTATTTTGCATCATATATGACCTTTAATCATATAAAGCAAAATGATGCCTAAGAATGAAATGTTTGACTAAAAATATTTAACAATAATAAACACAGCTTTAGCAGACCAAAAAATACTTTAACTGCTGCAAATTGTAGCGCTGCTCGATAAAAACCAGGTACAACAGTTATGGGAAGTGTTTTTATTTAGATTAAGAGACAGAATTTATCAAATGTTTGTGTAATTCACAATAAAAACACAGAAACAAAAGACCTTCAAACCAATTTGACGTACGCAGAATTAAGGCATCAACATCTCCTTCAACGAGCCTTGAAGAGAGTGATACAAAATAAACTCAAAAGAATTCAGGCTTTACTTTTGAGTAAAGTAAGAAAACAAAGATATCACAAGAATATAAAGAGGAATGGAGACCGACAACCAATCACGGCACAGGAAAACCACAAATACAAAAACAGGCGGATTGAATACAGCGCAGGTCGAGATCGTAGCGGAGCGAGACCCCCGTCAGGAATATACTTCTCGGTTGTTTTTTCTCCTCGTTTTTAGTCGAAAAAATTGAGGAAAGCTTCAGTAAAAAGGCAGATTCTGCTACACCAAGACATCATTGTATTCAGCGTAAAGTCCGAGTTAAATACGACCCTTTTCACTGACAGAAGACGTAACGAGATGAGATTTGAAGGGTCGATTCGTAACTCTACAGTTTGATCCAAATACCATACAAAAAGTGCCAATCGAAAAATATCCAGGATCTCCTCTAAGTACCCGATACAGGGGTCTAATTTGGCCTCTTGGGTCGTCCGTTGGTCCCCAAGTAGCCAGCTGTGATTAAAACGAGTATTAAGTTTACACACATTGTTCTTTATACTCATGATAGTCGAGTCCTGATAGTTTGATGCTAAAACTTAATTTCCAAGGCTAAATTACAAAAAGTTTTTTAAAGGAAAAGTTCAGACAGTTTAGGAAATAATTGCCTCTCTTGCTAATAGCTTAGCCTAGCATGAAGCTAGGAGGGCAGTAGAAACAGCTAGCACGGCTCTGGTTGTATTGTAGTCAAGACCACAGTAACCAAGACAACCGAGACAAGACCAAGGCCAAGGTAGGTCAAGGCCGGGACATTTAGGGATCGGGACCGAGACAAGACCGAGGCCAAGGTAGGGCAGACCGAGATATTTAAGGATCAGGACCGAGACAAGGCCAATGCAGGTCTAGACAGGGACATTTAGGGACCAGGACCGAGACAAGACTAGGACCAAGGCAGATCAAGGCCGAGACAAGACCAAGACCAAGGCAGGTCAAGACCGAGACATTTAGGGATTGAGACCGAGACAAGACCAAGACCAAGGCAGGTCAAGACCGAGACACTGAGGGATCGGGATCGGGACCGAGACAAGACCAAGACCAAGGCAGGTCAAGACCGAGACACTGAGGGATCGGGATCGGGACCGAGACAAGACCAAGACCAAGGCAGGTCAAGACCGAGACACTGAGGGATTGGGATCGGGACCGAGACAAGACCAAGACCAAGGCAGGTCAAGACCGAGACACTGAGGGATCGGGATCGGGACCGAGACAAGACCAAGACCAAGGCAGGTCAAGACCGAGACACTGAGGGATTGGGACCGAGTCAAGACCAAGACCAAGGCAGGTCAAGGCCGAGACATTTCGGGATCCAGACCGAGTCAAGACCAAGGCAGGTCAAGACCGAGACATTTAGGGATTGGGACCGAGACAAGACCAAGACCAAGGCAGATCAAGGCTGAGACATTTAGGGATTGGGACCGAGTCAAGAGCAAGACCAAGACCAAGGCAGGTCAAGACCGAGACATTTAGGGATTGGGACCGAGACAAGACCAAGACCAAGGCAGATCAAGGCTGAGACATTTAGGGATTGGGACCGAGACAAGACCAAGACCTAGGCAGATCAAGGCTGAGACATTTAGGGATTGGGACCGAGACAACACCAAGACCTAGGCAGATCAAGGCTGAGACATTTAGGGATTGGGACCGAGTCAAGACCAAGACCAAGACCAAGGCAGGTCAAGACCGAGACATTTAGGGATTGGGACCGAGACAAGACCAAGACCAAGGTAGGTCAAGGCCGAGACATTGAGGGATCAAGACCGAGTCGCGCAGTTAGACCGTAACACAGGGAAGGTTGTGGCTGTAACCGGGGGAAAAAATGATTATGAATGACTGAAGTTACTTGTTCTTTTAAAAAAAGGTGTTTTCCTTCACAGTGATGGCGTGGAAAAATAGACAATCAATGGTGGTCTTGATTTAAAATCTGGAGTCCGCCCAGTCTGACTGTCGTACACAGGTGAAGTCGTACACCAGACTAGACAAGACCGAGTAAAAAGTGGTCATAAAAATTCCTATTTTTTTTTTTTTTTTTACAAATAAGGATTAAAGATGTTTACTGGAGGAAGCCAGGCTAGCTGTTTCCCCCTGATTCCAGTCCTAATGCTAAGCTATGCTAAGCTAAGCTAATAACCTGCTGACTCATCTCATACTTTGAGAAGAGACACGGGAGTGACACCAAGGTGTAAAGTTCCCCCAGAATTTAACTAAACCTTTAAACATCTTCGTACTGTACATATGAACTGATATTTACATGTTTATGCTCGTGAGCTGAGGAGGGGTTCCTCACTGTCCCCCCTTCACTCGCTTATTTCATGAAGTGGCGTTAAAACAGCACGGACAAACACCACAAAGTCACAAAAAAGTGATACTTGAGGTAATCATTAATAAAACACAGAGGAGGGGATCGGAAAAGCTAGCTTAAATTTCAGCATCGGATCTTCTGTTGTTTTTTGTTAGCGTGAGAATGTTAGCCTCATTTGACATCGAGACAAAAGAGCGGGCTTTTGCAGGAACCCGCGAACAGCACAGACCACCGCACTCTCGTGTCGTCTCGGCAGTTGGTAGCTTTTGCAACGGCACAATTTTGGTATTTTACTCTAAATACTCCGTATTAAACTTTCACTTTGAGTGCTACTCCGGACGGCTAACAGTCACTGTGAAGGTGAAGTCGTACACCAGACTAGAAGTTGCTAAGTGTCGTGTCGGACTACGATGATTCTAAAGAACCATTTGGACTGGATTTTGGATTCTAGGGAAGGCGGGGTGATTTTCACATTGTCCACGCTCTGCCGCTGGTCAGCGATACGAACCCCAGTCTCAAGAGATGAAATTAAGACTCAGACTTAAGTCAAGCTAGAGGTCGGTAAGGTCATAAACCTGGACTACTGTCCCGGTATTCATAGCTTTTATGTGACGTCACACCCTTATCGTACGGCTCAGCTGGTTCTGATGACGGATAGCGTCTCAATGCCTTCTATTCATTCCGTATGGAGAGCCGGAGAGGCAGTCACCCAGTGCATATTGAGATCTTCCATATTGGAATATCAAAATCCAGACGATATCCCGACACTACAGAGAGTGAAAACTCTGTCGTATTTTAACCAACAGGCTACATAACTGTGCTGGTTCAGACCTGGGCTACAACTAGTGTGAGTTGTTCTTAATGACACTTGCTGAATATAAAAAAGTACTCTGGGAGAAGACCTGCAAACACTACAACAAGGGGAGGAGAATCCTCTTCTATGTGAGCACAATATCCTGTTAACTAAATTAATTTAAGACTTTTGTGAAATAACCTCCATGTTGTACGTACATTAAACCGAAAGACCTCTAAATATACTGACGCCATTTTTAAATATTGAAAGAAGGTTTTTCCTGAAACAAAAAGAGAGAAAAGAAGGAATGAGTTAAAGTCAGGGTTGGTAATTTATCCAAAACTAGCATGATTCTGAAAGTAGCTTTCCCTCAGTGCTTCGTCTGCTCCCCCTCCCCTCGGTGCTCCCTCATAAGCCACGCCCCCTCACTTACATGCTCCAGAAGTGGACCTCAGCTCATCTCTGTCATTGTGTAGAAACTACGTCGTCTCATGTCTCATTCAGCGGTCAGTAAACTCACAGTTTAAACTCCTAAAGTCATCGGTGACGCTCTTTGAGTGTGAGCTAGAGCACGCAAGAGGTAGAGAGCGAGCAGGGAGACAGGGAGGCGTCTGATTGGTTCATCAGATTGGTACCTCGTGGCAGACATTGGTCAAAGTTTTTACAGACTTACAAACTGATACAGATGATGGATTTTCTTTGTTCCTTTTTCAGAGAACATGAGTTATTAATTTCTGTCAGGACCTAAAGACAATTTACACCAGAATCTGAAGAAGTGGATCTGGAGGAAATGACCAACCCTGACTTTATTGTCAGAAACAAACTTTGTTGACCGTCCCCTTACTTGGAAAGCCGAGTGTAAGTCGGATGGCTACAGACGCATCAGCTACATAATAGCATGACATCATCGCAGCACCACACAGTGTAGCCCGCCACTAAATCAGTTTGAAGCTGGATTAACACCTCGATATAAGGGACACATGTTTCCGCTCTATATCCCAGAATAAAAATGTTATGATATATTTTTTGGTTTCTGTTCAGGTTTTGATTTTATGAATCCGTCCTGAAAGCTTTCTCCGGAGTTTAACCGTCAAGTGCTCGTGTTTTTCAGAGGCTCAAACATTACACAAATAATTAAAAATTACTTAATCACAAAAATACATTTTAAATGTTAAGATATCAGCCGAACGCTGCAATCGCATGCTGCTACAGAGTTCTGGTCTCAGAAACCAGTGTGGCGCCATTATCTCGCTAGCTGCTACCTCCAGGTGTGTGTGTGTGTGTGTGAGTGTGTGTGTGTGTGTGTGTGTGTGTGTGTGTGTGTGTGTGTGTGTGTGTGTGTGTGTGTGTGTGTTGAGGGGGGTTTTCAGCTCTGCGGGGACGTCTTACGGCTCTCTCTCAGGATGCCGTCCAGGCCGTTGAGCTGCCGGAGAAAGCCTCGGTTGGGGATGACTCCTCGGTGGTCCTTCACAGTTTTGATCGCCTCAACCAGCGTCAGGTTCTGTCTGATCATCAGGTACGCCAGAACAAGAGTCGCCGAGCGGCTCACCCCCACCGTGCAGTGGACTAACACCTTACCTGCAACCACACACACGCACGCACGCACGCACGCACGCACGCACGCACGCACGCACGCACGCACGCACACACACACACACACACACACACACACACACACAACATGAGCTTAAATCAAGAACTAATATTTCCTCACAGAAGTTTTAAAGGTGGAGTTGCAGCTTGGACACACAAACTTCAAACTGGGCCCCTCCTCCTCCAGAAGCCCCGCCCCCTGCAGGACGTAGTGTGTACATTTTACTGCTTGTACCTACACTGCAAGCTAACGCACGCTAGCACAAGCTAACCGCCGGTGTTTGTCACCTTCCTGTCCAACAGGAAGTAGATCAACTCCACGTCCACGGGTAAAAGACAACACAAGGTTCACCCTCGTTTCTCCTCACTCTCATTATATTTTCTCTTCTTTGCTGCTACGTCCACGTCCGTCATATTCACTGACAGGAGAAACGTCCTCACAGTTCAGAGAGGCTTTTTAAAAATCCTCCAGGGACGTGAAGGTGTTCCTCTCAGATCTCAGACACAGAGTCACCGCACAGCAAAGAGACGACACAGTTTCATACTTTAGATGACTCGATTTAAGAAGCAAACGTCTCTTTTGTTGTCAACACAAAACAAAAGAATTAATTAATTAAAAACACATTTTAATTACTGTAACATCCAGTGTAAGAAATCAGTGAGAGAGAGAGAGTGAGAGAGGGGAATGACATGTGGGAAAGGAGCCACAGTTCGGATTCTAACCCGGGCCGGCCGCCTGGAAGACCACAGCCTCCGTACATGGGACACGCGTACTAACCACTGTCCCACCAGTGCCCCAAGACGCAAGCCCAGAAATATGACCGCCATATCAGTATTAAATACTAACAAACGCACCGTCATGACCCCGAGTGCACGCTACCTGACCTTAAAGATTCATCCTCAAACTAACCACATATTCTCCTGGGAGCTCCTGAGCTCTCAGACGTTCCTCTGGATCGTTGGTGGGGACGGCCCGCTGCTTTTCTTTAAATCTTTGCAGCGTATTTATGAACTTACTTCGTTGTTGTTTGAGGGTCATAAAGGATAAATTGATGCGTATTCACGTCATCTTCTTCAGACTGACCTCCGCTTGTGAGAGCTTTATGGATGAACTCGGCCGCAGGGTAGAAGTTGACGCTCATGTCGAAGGTCGGGGAGTCGTGGGCCTCGATGCCGTGGTACGTGATGTTCATCCCGGCGTAGTACTCGGCTCCACCGCGCCATTTGCTCTGAGCACAGTTCAGGATGTGCGTGATGCCGAGTTTGCCGAGCTCACGTCGGTCTGACGCGATATCTCTGCAGGGGAAATTTTTTTTTTTAATTACCTTTACTTAATGAAACAACAGGTAAGACGTAAAAAGCTAATTAAATGTCAAATCAAAGTATTCGAGTAGCTGGTTGGCTTGGTTACAGGATTTAAAAAATGTATAGGCTATAAAGATTTTCTGAAATGTAAATGTGAGGTTTGAATGGAGAAACTTCTAGAAACATGGCCGCTAAAAACAGTGTTGGCGGTTACTGTTGCACCTGTCCCCAGTCTCCCCTATTTTAAGTACATCAACTTCAGAACTATATTTGTCAAGTATTCCAGGTGAGTTTAACTATCATATTAACTCACTGATCTCCGATATAAAGCCTCGGCCACACTTCGTCTGCATGGTTGCACGCTGTTTTTCCCGTGCAGAGGAGCCTCTCCAGCTCGGATACGGTCAGGATCGGGGTTCCTCGCTCGGAGTCTTTTCGGTTCGGGGATCTGGAGCTGCTCCGGGACCGGGAGAACCGGGACATAAACGCCATTTCATCTGTAAAAAAATAAAATAATAATGATAATAAATTAATTTATACTTTTAAGAATTTGAATTTGAATTTGAACTATTTAATTTTATTATTAAATTATTAAATTTTTATTATTTTTTTGATTAATTATTTAATTTTATTATTTTAATACTGTTTTTATAATTTAATAAAATAATAACAATTAAAATATAAATAAAAGATGTAATGAAATATGACGTATTATTCGTCCTTATTAAATATTAAAGCAAAGAACGATGAGAAAGAAGGAGAATAAAACGGTTGAAAAACAAATGATGCGTTCAGGTGACTCTATAACGGTCACTATTATTTGATAACAACACATTTTACCTGTAGCTCCATGTTGGGGAGCATTAGTCGCCCTGTGACTGAGGCAACGCTCCTCTTAACATATAAAATAAAAACACCCAGCCTCAGTATTTCCCGCTCCCTGAAGCCTCCATGTTTGTTTTATTTACCTGTGTTGTTTTATTCCGCGTCTCTGTGGTGCTACAGGGCGAGCTCCTCCGCGGCCATGTTGGCTCAGATGATGATGATGGAGCTCAGCTTCCCTCAGACATCTTCACCGTCTTCTTCTCAACAAGTCCTCAATCAAGAACAACAAACAGCGGCAAACACGCTCAGCTCACTTTAAAGAGCCCTGCCGGGTCTTTAGTTGTGATAATAATTCAGTAATTCAGATTATTTAAATATATTTAATTAAAAAATGATGATCATTCTCAACGTTAACGTTCAGTCAGTTGTGGCCGCTTGTCGCCATCTACTGGACAAATCATGAAACGCGTTCTCATTGGGCGGGAAAACGTGTAAACAAGCTCGCTACGCGGTGCGTTCAAGTGATGCTGTGGAACTTTCGCTTTTCAAACAAAGCATTTCTTCTTAGTAAGCAGTTAACAAAAAGTGGCTGTTGTGGGTGTTATTCTTTATATTATTTATTGTTTACTCATCTGGTGTTTTAATTCTCCATTCGTATGACACAATCTGAACTTAAAGGTCCAAACTGTAAGATATCTACTGAATTAAATGATAAAGGTATCTTACTATATGATCAGACATTAAGGAAACATGCTATGTTGAAGTGCTGGCTTCTCTGACAACAATGCAGCAGCCAGTATGTCCTCCTTCTAACTTTAGATTCTGCTCCTGAATGCTCTGGATTTGTAAGGACCAGAGAAAAAGCGTAAAACATAAACACCTACTTTGACAGAAGGTACTTGAAGGCAACATGACGTACAATTCTTGCGACGCACGTGTGCCCGTAGTGAGGCGAAGAGATGGCTGCGGACAGGGTTCAGTTTCATGAAATGGGCATTGACGACCGTCTTTTAAAGGTAAGTTTGAACTAACATGTCGCAGAAATGTGAAATAAACTTTCAACCAATCGTTGAATCAGCAGCTTGAGAATAAAAAACGAGTTAAAGTGAAGAAAAGTCGAAGTAAACACGGCTGGACTTCAGTCTTAAAGCAGCTGTAATGTGAAGGAAAAAAAGACCTAAAATGTTATTTATTTTATTTTTTATTCGTTGAGTCCAGTGTTTAAGTGTTAACATTATCACTGTCGAACTGATTGAACAAGAGTTTGGTAATAAGATAATAATAATAATAATAATAATAATAATAATAATAATAATAATAATGACAATGACCTTACAGGCTGTATCACAAAATACAGGCTGGATGGATAAGTGTCTCTATTCAGACATCTCTTAAAAGACTCCAGCCCTGCTCAAAACTGTCAAATATTGAGGTTTTATTTTTTTATTTTTTTTAAAGATTTATTTTTGGGCTTTTAATGCAGAGAGAGGACAGTGGATAGAGTCTGAAACCAGAGAGAGAGAGGACAGTGGATAGAGTCTGAAACCAGAGAGAGAGAGGACAGTGGATAGAGTCAGAAACCAGAGAGAGAGAGAGAGGACAGTGGATAGAGTCAGAAACCAGAGAGAGAGAGGACAGTGGATAGAGTCAGAAACCAGAGAGAGAGAGGACAGTGGATAGAGTCAGAAACCAGAGAGAGAGAGAGGACAGTGGATAGAGTCAGAAACCAGAGAGAGAGAGGACAGTGGATAGAGTCAGAAACCAGAGAGAGAGAGGACAGTGGATAGAGTCAGAAACCAGAGAGAGAGAGGACAGTGGATAGAGTCAGAAACCAGAGAGAGAGAGGGACAGTGGATAGAGTCAGAAACCAGAGAGAGAGATAGGACAGTGGATAGAGTCAGAAACCAGAGAGAGAGAGGACAGTGGATAGAGTCAGAAACCAGAGAGAGAGAGGACAGTGGATAGAGTCAGAAACCAGAGAGAGAGAGGACAGTGGATAGAGTCAGAAACCAGAGAGAGAGAGAGGACAGTGGATAGAGTCAGAAACCAGAGAGAGAGAGGACAGTGGATAGAGTCAGAAACCAGAGAGAGAGAGGACAGTGGATAGAGTCTGAAACCAGAGAGAGAGAGGACAGTGGATAGAGTCAGAAACCAGAGAGAGAGAGAGACAGTGGATAGAGTCTGAAACCAGAGAGAGAGAGAGGACAGTGGATAGAGTCTGAAACCAGAGAGAGAGAGACAGTGGATAGAGTCAGAAACCAGAGAGAGAGAGGACAGTGGATAGAGTCTGAAACCAGAGAGAGAGAGAGGACAGTGGATAGAGTCTGAAACCAGAGAGAGAGGACAGTGGATAGAGTCTGAAACCAGAGAGAGAGAGACAGTGGATAGAGTCAGAAACCAGAGAGAGAGAGAGGACAGTGGATAGAGTCAGAAACCAGAGAGAGAGAGACAGTGGATAGAGTCTGAAACCAGAGAGAGAGAGGACAGTGGATAGAGTCTGAAACCAGAGAGAGAGAGAGGACAGTGGATAGAGTCAGAAACCAGAGAGAGAGAGAGGACAGTGGATAGAGTCTGAAACCAGAGAGAGAGAGGGACAGTGGATAGAGTCTGAAACCAGAGAGAGAGAGAGGACAGTGGATAGAGTCTGAAACCAGAGAGAGAGAGGACAGTGGATAGAGTCTGAAACCAGAGAGAGAGAGAGACAGTGGATAGAGTCTGAAACCAGAGAGAGAGAGAGGACAGTGGATAGAGTCTGAAACCAGAGAGAGAGAGAGGACAGTGGATAGAGTCTGAAACCAGAGAGAGAGAGAGGACAGTGGATAGAGTCTGAAACCAGAGAGAGAGAGGACAGTGGATAGAGTCTGAAACCAGAGAGAGAGAGGACAGTGGATAGAGTCTGAAACCAGAGAGAGAGAGAGAGACAGTGGATAGAGTCTGAAACCAGAGAGAGAGAGGACAGTGGATAGAGTCAGAAACCAGAGAGAGAGAGAGGACAGTGGATAGAGTCTGAAACCAGAGAGAGAGAGAGACAGTGGATAGAGTCAGAAACCAGAGAGAGAGAGAGGACAGTGGATAGAGTCTGAAACCAGAGAGAGAGAGGACAGTGGATAGAGTCAGAAACCAGAGAGAGAGAGGACAGTGGATAGAGTCTGAAACCAGAGAGAGAGAGGACAGTGGATAGAGTCTGAAACCAGAGAGAGAGAGACAGTGGATAGAGTCAGAAACCAGAGAGAGAGAGAGGACAGTGGATAGAGTCTGAAACCAGAGAGAGAGAGGACAGTGGATAGAGTCTGAAACCAGAGAGAGAGAGACAGTGGATAGAGTCAGAAACCAGAGAGAGAGAGGACAGTGGATAGAGTCTGAAACCAGAGAGAGAGAGAGAGAGAGAGCAGTGGATAGAGTCTGAAACCAGAGAGAGAGAGAGAGACAGTGGATAGAGTCTGAAACCAGAGAGAGAGAGAGAGGACAGTGGATAGAGTCTGAAACCAGAGAGAGAGAGGACAGTGGATAGAGTCAGAAACCAGAGAGAGAGAGAGACAGTGGATAGAGTCTGAAACCAGAGAGAGAGAGAGGACAGTGGATAGAGTCAGAAACCAGAGAGAGAGAGAGAGACAGTGGATAGAGTCTGAAACCAGAGAGAGAGAGACAGTGGATAGAGTCAGAAACCAGAGAGAGAGAGGACAGTGGATAGAGTCAGAAACCAGAGAGAGAGAGAGGACAGTGGATAGAGTCTGAAACCAGAGAGAGAGAGGACAGTGGATAGAGTCTGAAACCAGAGAGAGAGAGAGGACAGTGGATAGAGTCTGAAACCAGAGAGAGAGAGAGGACAGTGGATAGAGTCTGAAACCAGAGAGAGAGAGAGGACAGTGGATAGAGTCTGAAACCAGAGAGAGAGAGGACAGTGGATAGAGTCTGAAACCAGAGAGAGAGAGAGGACAGTGGATAGAGTCTGAAACCAGAGAGAGAGAGAGGACAGTGGATAGAGTCAGAAACCAGAGAGAGAGAGGACAGTGGATAGAGTCAGAAACCAGAGAGAGAGAGGACAGTGGATAGAGTCTGAAACCAGAGAGAGAGAGGACAGTGGATAGAGTCTGAAACCAGAGAGAGAGAGAGGACAGTGGATAGAGTCTGAAACCAGAGAGAGAGAGAGGACAGTGGATAGAGTCTGAAACCAGAGAGAGAGAGAGGACAGTGGATAGAGTCTGAAACCAGAGAGAGAGAGAGGACAGTGGATAGAGTCTGAAACCAGAGAGAGAGAGACAGTGGATAGAGTCTGAAACCAGAGAGAGAGAGGACAGTGGATAGAGTCAGAAACCAGAGAGAGAGAGAGATAGAGTCTGAAACCAGAGAGAGAGACAGTGGATAGAGTCTGAAACCAGAGAGAGAGAGAGGAGTGGATAGAGTCTGAAACCAGAGAGAGAGAGAGGACAGTGGATAGAGTCTGAAACCAGAGAGAGAGAGGACAGTGGATAGAGTCTGAAACCAGAGAGAGAGAGAGGACAGTGGATAGAGTCAGAAACCAGAGAGAGAGAGAGGACAGTGGATAGAGTCTGAAACCAGAGAGAGAGAGGACAGTGGATAGAGTCTGAAACCAGAGAGAGAGAGGACAGTGGATAGAGTCTGAAACCAGAGAGAGAGAGAGGACAGTGGATAGAGTCTGAAACCAGAGAGAGAGAGAGGACAGTGGATAGAGTCTGAAACCAGAGAGAGAGAGAGGACAGTGGATAGAGTCTGAAACCAGAGAGAGAGAGAGGACAGTGGATAGAGTCTGAAACCAGAGAGAGAGAGAGGACAGTGGATAGAGTCTGAAACCAGAGAGAGAGAGAGGACAGTGGATAGAGTCTGAAACCAGAGAGAGAGAGGACAGTGGATAGAGTCTGAAACCAGAGAGAGAGAGAGACAGTGGATAGAGTCTGAAACCAGAGAGAGAGAGAGACAGTGGATAGAGTCTGAAACCAGAGAGAGAGAGAGACAGTGGATAGAGTCTGAAACCAGAGAGAGAGAGAGAGACAGTGGATAGAGTCAGAAACCAGAGAGAGAGAGAGGACAGTGGATAGAGTCAGAAACCAGAGAGAGAGAGACAGTGGATAGAGTCTGAAACCAGAGAGAGAGAGAGGACAGTGGATAGAGTCAGAAACCAGGGAGAGAGAGAGGACAGTGGATAGAGTCTGAAACCAGAGAGAGAGAGGACAGTGGATAGAGTCAGAAACCAGAGAGAGAGAGGACAGTGGATAGAGTCTGAAACCAGAGAGAGAGAGGACAGTGGATAGAGTCTGAAACCAGAGAGAGAGAGAGGACAGTGGATAGAGTCAGAAACCAGAGAGAGAGAGAGGACAGTGGATAGAGTCTGAAACCAGAGAGAGAGAGGACAGTGGATAGAGTCTGAAACCAGAGAGAGAGAGAGAGAGAGAGCAGTGGATAGAGTCTGAAACCAGAGAGAGAGAGAGAGACAGTGGATAGAGTCTGAAACCAGAGAGAGAGAGAGAGACAGTGGATAGAGTCTGAAACCAGAGAGAGAGAGACAGTGGATAGAGTCAGAAACCAGAGAGAGAGGAGGACAGTGGATAGAGTCAGAAACCAGAGAGAGAGAGAGGACAGTGGATAGAGTCAGAAACCAGAGAGAGAGAGGACAGTGGATAGAGTCTGAAACCAGAGAGAGAGAGGACAGTGGATAGAGTCTGAAACCAGAGAGAGAGGACAGTGGATAGAGTCAGAAACCAGAGAGAGAGGACAGTGGATAGAGTCAGAAACCAGAGAGAGAGAGGACAGTGGATAGAGTCAGAAACCAGAGAGAGAGGACAGTGGATAGAGTCTGAAACCAGAGAGAGAGGACAGTGGATAGAGTCTGAAACCAGAGAGAGAGAGAGGACAGTGGATAGAGTCAGAAACCAGAGAGAGAGGACAGTGGATAGAGTCTGAAACCAGAGAGAGAGAGGACAGTGGATAGAGTCTGAAACCAGAGAGAGAGACAGTGGATAGAGTCTGAAACCAGAGAGAGAGAGAGACAGTGGATAGAGTCTGAAACCAGAGAGAGAGAGGACAGTGGATAGAGTCTGAAACCAGAGAGAGAGAGGACAGTGGATAGAGTCAGAAACCAGAGAGAGAGAGGACAGTGGATAGAGTCAGAAACCAGAGAGAGAGAGAGGACAGTGGATAGAGTCAGAAACCAGAGAGAGAGAGAGGACAGTGGATAGAGTCTGAAACCAGAGAGAGAGAGAGACAGTGGATAGAGTCTGAAACCAGAGAGAGAGAGAGGACAGTGGATAGAGTCAGAAACCAGAGAGAGAGAGGACAGTGGATAGAGTCTGAAACCAGAGAGAGAGAGAGACAGTGGATAGAGTCAGAAACCAGAGAGAGAGACAGTGGATAGAGTCAGAAACCAGAGAGAGAGAGAGGACAGTGGATAGAGTCAGAAACCAGAGAGAGAGAGGACAGTGGATAGAGTCTGAAACCAGAGAGAGAGAGAGGACAGTGGATAGAGTCAGAAACCAGAGAGAGAGAGACAGTGGATAGAGTCTGAAACCAGAGAGAGAGAGGACAGTGGATAGAGTCTGAAACCAGAGAGAGAGAGGACAGTGGATAGAGTCTGAAACCAGAGAGAGAGAGGACAGTGGATAGAGTCTGAAACCAGAGAGAGAGGACAGTGGATAGAGTCAGAAACCAGAGAGAGAGAGGACAGTGGATAGAGTCAGAAACCAGAGAGAGAGAGAGAGGACAGTGGATAGAGTCTGAAACCAGAGAGAGAGAGGACAGTGGATAGAGTCAGAAACCAGAGAGAGAGGACAGTGGATAGAGTCAGAAACCAGAGAGAGAGGACAGTGGATAGAGTCAGAAACCAGAGAGAGAGGACAGTGGATAGAGTCTGAAACCAGAGAGAGAGAGAGAGAGACAGTGGATAGAGTCAGAAACCAGAGAGAGAGGACAGTGGATAGAGTCAGAAACCAGAGAGAGAGAGGACAGTGGATAGAGTCTGAAACCAGAGAGAGAGAGGACAGTGGATAGAGTCAGAAACCAGAGAGAGAGAGGACAGTGGATAGAGTCAGAAACCAGAGAGAGAGAGGACAGTGGATAGAGTCTGAAACCAGAGAGAGAGAGGACAGTGGATAGAGTCTGAAACCAGAGAGAGAGAGGACAGTGGATAGAGTCTGAAACCAGAGAGAGAGAGGACAGTGGATAGAGTCAGAAACCAGGGAGAGAGAGAGGACAGTGGATAGAGTCAGAAACCAGAGAGAGAGAGCGGGGAATGACATGTGGAAAGGGGCCACGGGTGGAATTGAACCCGGGCCTCCCGCTCGAGACGAGAGTCTCAACACATGGGACGCGCGCTCTAACCATTGCGTCACCAGCGTGCCCAAAATATTGAGTATTAATCAGGAATTAAACTTTAAATGCCAGTTTGATTACATGATTCTGGCATTTAAAAGGTTAAATTCCTGATAAATTCCTAAGAGGGCAGAACAAACACCTAGCTGTGGGAGTGTCACCCACCGGGGGGAGGGGCTACTGCCCTTTGTGATGTCATGAAGGGAAACTCTCCAAACGACCCATACCAGAACCAGAGATAAACATATTTTTGCAGTAGTCCCTTCCTTTTTTCAGGAGCTGTTTTTGAAGCCTGTCTTCAATAAAAAATAAAAGATGCATGGTCAAGAAAGTGCAGAATAATCTGTGATGATATTCAAGGTTGAAGAACCCGACCAGTGAGACTCCCAGATTCAGGCGTATTATGTTTACCACCTCATGAATAATGGTTATCAGCACCTTGAAGCTTCGCTCTCTTGCTGTTATCGTGATGTAGGCGGTCGCAGATCTGGGTTGGTCCCAGCCCACGTTGATCCAGGAGAAGGCCATCCCTTTAGCTCTGGAGGGGAAAGACCTTCTGGCCCGAGCTCGGACCGGATCAGGAAAGACGGCTGCTTATGCCCTCCCCGTCATACAGCGGATCCTGGCCTCCAAGCAGGTGAGGAGGAAACAGAAACAACTGTGTGTGAAATCTGTTCAACATCGATGATGTGTAGACGTTAATTATCATCGACCTTTTCCTCGTCCTTTGTCGATATATTCAGAGTGTTCGTGAGCAGGATGTACGGGCGCTGATTCTGGTGCCGACCAAAGAGCTCGGCCATCAGGTGCAGACGATGATCAGACAGCTGACGGCGTTCTGCTCGAGGGACGTCCGAGTCGCCGATATCTCCGGGACAGCCGACCTATCAGCACAGAGGTCAGGCTGATGTTTATTGCTTTAAACCAAAATCATGATCGCAAAATCAACGTGGCATATTTTCTGATCGATAAGAAGTTTGTTGTCTTTTCTGTCTGAACAGGCCGATCTTAATGGAGAAGCCGGACGTGGTCGTTGGGACACCGTCTCGTGTTCTCGCCCACCTGAACGCCCAGAACCTTCTCCTGCACTCGTCGCTGGAGATGCTGGTCGTAGACGAGGCCGACCTGCTCTTCTCTTTTGGCTTCGAGGCCGATCTGAAGAACTTGTTATGGTGAGAACTCACACTTCGTTTTGTGTCTGTCCAACAGGAAGTAGATCAACTCCACGTCCAACACAAGGTTCACCCTCGTTTTAGAACGATCTTTATCCACTTGGTGTTTCTCCTCACTCTCATTATAGTTTCTCTTCTTTGCTGCTACGTCCACGTCCGTCATATTCACCGCTTTGAATCTCGTCCAATCACTGAATAGTATCCACTCCTAAACTCACCTGCTGCGCTGTCATTGGCTGGAGGAAACACACCAGCTCCGCCCCCAGAAACGTCCCGAGTCAACCAGAACAAATCAGAACAGTAAAATCCAGTCAGAGGACAGAGTCTCTGCAGACACAGTCACCACCTCACATGTACAGAGGCCCAGAAGGGACAATGGAGCAGCTTCACTTTAGGATGAATCTGTATTTTATTTTGAAGGAGAAGTCTGTATTTTATTTTGAAGGAACAAGCTGCCGACTCTACCTTTACTTTAGGATAAATCTGTATTTTATTTTGAAGGAGAAGTCTGTATTTTATTTTGAAGGAACATGCTGCTGACTCTACCTTTACTTTAGGATAAATCTGTATTTTATTTTGAAGGAGAAGTCTGTATTTTATTTTGAAGGAACATGCTGCTGACTCTACCTTTACTTCAGGATAAATCTGTATTTTATTTTGAAGGAGAAGTCTGTATTTTATTTTGAAGGAACATGCTGCTGACTCTACCTTTAAACCCACCTGTTTTGTGTTTTGATTTCAGTCACCTGCCGAATATCTACCAGTCGTTCCTGATGTCGGCCACTCTCACTGAGGATGTTCAGGCCTTAAAGGAGCTGCTGCTACACAACCCGGTAATGTTCACATTTTGATTCTTAGTGAGAGACATAAACATTCTTTGCTGCACTCCTCTCATAGCTTTTCTTTTTATATCTATTTATATCTGCACCTTATTTTTATTTTTATATGTAAATACATGCTGCTGTTTTTTATCCTGCACTACAACGAGCCAAATGCAACGAAATTTTGTTCTTATCTGCTCTGTAAAGTACAAGTTTGAATGACAATAAAGAAAGAAAGTCTAAGTCAACATTCTCCAGCTGTGGAGCGTGTGTGAACGTATACGGCCGACTCTTTCGACCTGCCAGCCCCGTCTGTAAAAAGTATTTGTGAAGTCTGCCAATGAAAGGCGTCTGATCCAACCTTCACAACAGGGTCCTAAGTCTCTGACTAGACTCTTCTCCTCTGTCGCCCCCCGGTGGTGGAATGAACTTCCAAACTCCATGTGATCTGCAGAGTCCCTCTGCACCTTTAAGAAAAAGCTAAAGACCCAGCTCTTTCATGAATACCTACTAACTTAATGATGATGGTCTCCATATTATTGATGATGATGATGGTTGTGACGATGGTTTTTGTTTGATAATGACGACTTATAAGATGGTTTCTATACTGATTAGAGCTCTCAAGAACTGCCCTCAATGTTGTGCTTTGCCTCTGGTCACTTCCTATCAGCACCTGTGTGTCCAATCAGACTCAAAGCTGATCGTTTGCTCTTACTCACATTGTTCCCTTTTTTCTAGATCCTTGCTTGTGTTGTTCTTACTCTCTGATGTACGTCGCTTTGGATGAAAGAGTCTGCTCAGTGAATTGTAGAAGTCAGGGTGAGGAGATGTGTGAACGCATCGAGCGAGTGTGAGAGGTGTAATGACCTTGTTTATGTTTAGCTGGTTTCTCCGCTTTGTGCTCTTAACTGCTCGCCTCAGTCGGCACTTTCTAATTTTGTTTCTAACATCCCTTTATATGTCTTACTGATATTAACACGGGGAAAAACTCACCATTACTGCAGACTCGTCCTCAAACATCTAAATCTAACAGAATACTTTGTTTGGGTGCGTTTGATACAGATAATCTCCTCCTGAAAGAATCAGGCTGAGTGTCCTGAAAGCTGAGAGTTGATGAGTTAAAGGGCTAAACTTTCTGCAGAAGAAGAGTGGTTCACGTTGGTGTTTTGTGTTCTCTCAGGTGATCCTGAAGCTGCAGGGCTCCCAGCTGCCCGACAGCAGCCAGCTGCAGCAGTACAGCATCAAGTGTGAGGAGGAGGACAAGTTCCTGCTGATCTACACGCTGCTGCGGCTGCGGCTGGTTCAGGGGAAGACGCTGGTGTTTGTGGGCGCCGTGGAGAGAAGCTACAGACTCAAACTGTTCCTGGAGCAGTTTGGGATTCCCGCCTGTGTGCTGAACTCGGAGCTCCCCGTCCATTCCAGGTGAGAACTCCTTTTTCCCTGACGACGTTACAGTTCCTTACTACCAGAAACATCTTTCCATCATCATCAACCTTTATTTAAGTTCTCGGAGAGATCATTGAGGGCGACCCTCATTTACAATGATGTCGAGAAAACATACATAAATAAACAACGAGAAATGAGATAAAGCTACTACAGAAAATAAAATCAATAAAAGAGCAATAAGAACAATAAAATATATACATATATAGCTTGAAATTACTACAGTGATAAGTCAGTAATTAAAATAAAACAGTTACAGTCAGGTATTGGGCGGTTAAAAATAATATTTCTAAAGTGCCCATAAGGGATAAAAGTGCTCAAGTTCAGGTCCTGTTGTAAAATGTTCCAGGAGTTTGCAGCACTAACACTAAAAGCAGTTTTCCCCAGGTCAGTCCTGGCATGAGGAACCTGGAGAAGCAGCCTCTCTCTCTCTCGAGCGGGTTAAAAATGGACCGAGGTTCAGATGTAACAAGGAGGTGATATATGATGGAAGCTTTCCAGTGAGGGCTTTATAGATAAAAAGATATTTTACTGCTGCATCTAACGCTGGTTTCACACATACAGAGTTACATATTGCTTTTAAACAATTTGTTTATTGAGTTTTAAACATTTTTTCAAGACTTGCAATTAAATAAATTATAAGGGAAAAATATATATATATATGCACATTTATAAAATAAGGGGGAAGTAAAATATGATAATACAAAATTTAAAAGAATACCCAAAGGGAGTACATTGCCATAGATGATTTGTTAATCACAAATATTCTGCCCGCGAACAGTTTCTGCGAAAACGACCAAAATTACAGACTTTACCAACTCTTTACCAGCCTAACTCAAAATATGTGACAGATCTTTATCCCGTAGAAAATGAATATATAGGCTTCAGATATCGTCAAATAATTATCGTTTGTACATATTGCTTTTTTAACAGAACATATTCTGACTCACTCTTCCTCTTCGTCTGCCTCCTGACCTCCTTGGGAGTCTGTTTGACCTCTGATGTTTATTTAATGATGACGTTCATCTTCATCAAACGACAGATCCTTTAAAACCTCTACAATAAATACAAATGACTTCTTCTTCTGGTTATTTACTCGTGCTGCAGGTGTCACATCATCACTCAGTTCAATCAGGGATTTTACGACTACATCATCGCCACGGACGAGCAGAGTTTGGCCGACCCCACGGCCGCTCCGCAGACGACGTCGGGCAAAGGGAAGAAGAAGAAGAGCGCAGCGAGAGACAGGAAGTGAGTAGAAGGAGAGCTCTCTGGAAGCTGACTTTGTTTCATTTAAAGGTTTTCTGAAATCCTACTTTTTTTTTGTTTTCTTAAAGGACTAAGGACAAAGAGTTCGGCGTCTCCAGAGGGGTGGATTTCCAAAATGTTGCCAACGTCATCAACTTTGATTTCCCCGCAACCATAGAGTCGTACATCCATCGAGTGGGAAGGTGAGACACACTCGTCTTTACCTCGGATCGATCTCTCAGTTTTCTTCTTTTGGAGCATCTTAAAGTCTTTATGTGTGATTTTTCACACTTAAATATAAATCAAGTATCTCCTCTGAAAATAACTCTGTGAGTCATGACTGTCTACAATGGGTGTAACACCCGAGTCCCACTGTCTGTGATGTTTTCAGAGTTTTCAGAGTCCTATCTTCACTTTGTTTACATCGCCAGGATGGCCGGCTGACTCCTCCCCTCGTGTATAAAAGTTGTTTAATTGAGGGACTAGAGAAAAGAAGAATAACATACTGTACTCACTGCTTAACTGTGTTTCTAGATCACGCTCATTTCAGGTAAATTTACATGCAGTGTGAAGATACCAGCATAATAAAGATCGCTAGCATTAGCATGCTAACACAACAATGCAGCGAGAGTTGTTTTGGTTTCATGCTGGAGCTCAAGGGCGACATCTGCTGGATCAAAAAATCACATATAAAGCCTTTAAGACGCCACAGATGTCTGATGACTAAACTCTTTTTATGTTGTTGTTGCAGGACGGCGAGGGCGGACAACCCGGGCACCGCTCTGTCCTTCATCTCCCACACGGAGCTCGCTCTGCTGTCGGAGGTGGAGGAGGCTCTCTCAGGAGACAAATCAGATTCAGTTCTGAAACCATACGAGTTTAAGATGGAGGAGATCGAAGGCTTCAGGTACCGCTGCAGGGTGAGTATCCTCGTCTCGGCTTCCATCTTCTTCAGAGCTGCTTCCTTTAAAGCGTTGCTGATTTGTTTGTTTGTTTTTAGGATGCGATGCGTTCAGTGACCAAGCAGGCGGTGAAGGAGGCTCGGCTGAAGGAGATCAAGACGGAGCTGCTCAACTCAGAGAAACTCAAAGTGAGTGATGATGGCAAAAGCATTGCCATATAGCTTTAGCTGAATCAAAGCTACATGATTGTAAATCTGGCACACGGCCGATAAAAAGCTTGAGGAAGATACCCGTGTTGTAGTACTCGTAAAAGAGCGTCCTCAAGACAACTTTTGAACGTCTCGACTCAGAATGGAATGGAGCATTTAGACTCACTCTAACCGAGTTTTTTTTTTTTTTAAGATTTGTTTATTAGGAAAACATAAAACTTTACAAGCAAATCCACTGTCAACATGAACATTTTGTGGTGTGTTTCAAACAGACACAAAAACATAGAAATAAATAATAATGATTAAAAAAAGTTAAATAATAATACATGAATAACCAGAGAAAATCTAGATGTATATACTTAGATTTAGCAAGTGTACTTCCAATACACCCCTATATCAATTAGGCAATTCTATATAGTCATAATATAAGTATATTACAACTGTACTAATAATAATACAGCATCAATAATTGTTGTAACAATAATTACAATAATAGTATGTATGCAAAGTAATGATTGAGAAAGAAATAAGAGAAAGAACACACAAATCCAGTGTCTATTCACTTGTAATATATCTAATTGTAACAATTGCTATTATTGTTTTAAGTAATAACAATAAAAACAAAGAATTTAGAGAAAAACAATAACAAACATAAACAAACAAAAAAAAACTGACTCTAACCGAGTTGTGCTGCAATTTTAGGGAATTAAAAACAAAAATGTACTTGATATTTGCTGCCCAGGACTTTTATTCTGTTGGTATTTTCTGATTGGATGTTTCCGCTGTCACTCAGACGTATTTCGACGACAACCCGAGAGATCTGCAGCTGCTCAGACACGACAAAGACCTCCATCCTGCAGTCATCAAACCTCACCTGAAGAACGTCCCAGAGTACCTCAGTAAGACACACACACACACACGCACACGCACGCAAACACTCAGCTGTAGTCTTTAGGTTACTCATTATAATTTTCTCCTCCTTGTTTTCAGTCCCAGAGACTCTGAGGAGCTCGGTGAATCCTCTGTCAGCTCGCAGGAGGAAGAAGAAGATGATTGAAAAGTCCAAACCAGAAGGACTCGTGAAGAGCAGCTTCAAGGTAACAGAACGATCAGAGTTATAACGGTACCCTAATGAAAGGATAAGCTCTCAGTGACCACAACACCTTGGGAACGCCCAACAGTCCAGAGCTCCAGCACCCCAGAGTCACCCCCCTCCATGACGGCTCTAACGTCCCGCTATAACCACATATAGAACGCCTACATCTTACTTAATACACCGTGCATGTGACCTCCAAATAACGACCGCGCTGATACGACCTACTTATTATTTCCAGAAGTCGCCGTCGGCTCTGGGACCTTTATTTTGACAAACGGTTATAAGAACATATCGCTTGATAAGTAACTAAAGTTATCCCTCGTTGCAGCCATCATCTTAAAAATAAGTCTAAAGGCCCTGACACACCAATCAGTCGCCTCACATCTTGGCCAAAAGGTTGCACTTGAACACACCGCAAAGACTACGGCCAACCACCACGCACGTTCTGCTCATGTGAGAGGAAATAACTCTCCATGCCAGCAGGGGGCGGTAGTCCGTTGTCATGATACATGAAGACCGTTTTCACTCCGCTGTCGGTCACCACTCGTATTATAGGTCGTCTACTAATGGAGAATAATGTTTGATAAAAAGTAGAAGATGGCGCTGGTGTTGTCAGTTCTTGGTCTTTTAGTGGAAAAAGAAAAGAAGAAGAGGAGGAGACAAATAAGGAGAAACCACACTAATGGGTGAAAGCATGGATACTACAGAGACATGCTCAAGGGGCTGGAGAGAAATGAAACCTCCCAACAGCCAATCAGAGAGACTCCTCTCACCAACCGCTGATTCAACATGTCAAATCGGCCAAAAAAAAAGCGACAGAGCCAGACATGCCACTAAAACTAGGCTGACATTGTCCTTGGTGTGTCAGGGCGTTTAAATCTATTCAGTGGTTCTTGTTCTTTAAGTCATAACAACTACACAGATGTATTTGTGCTCAGTGATCCATTTTGTCTCCTGCAGAAGAACATCAGTGGGAAGAACCCGCTGAGGAGTTTCCGATACAGCGGAGCGAGGAACAGAAAGGTGAAATAAGGAAGATCGACGCTGCAGCAGCAGAAAACTCTGAATGTTTAAAGTGTGCAGAGACTCTCTCTCCTGGAAGAAGGTATGCCCCCCATTAACGACCCAAACGGGACGAATATAAAGTACACAGACTCTGGACTAAACGGGCGATCGAAGCTGAATGGACCGCGGACTAATCGGAGCATGAACGAGGAGGACTTGTGTGAACTTTGCAAACGAAAATGCAGCGAAAGGAAAACAGCATCCATGATATCTAATTTCTTTGACGTCTGTTCTGAAAAAAACTTTGAAATCTTTATTAAAATAAAAATAATCTCTTCTCAAACGCTGAGTATTTGAAGTTCCTGTGAGGTGCAAAGTTTTCCTCCAAGCCTGATACCGATGTTTTTTTAATTGTGAATCTTTTGGTGCAAACTCCAACAATGCCGACATTTTCTGTCTTGTTTGACCATGAAAAGTTTGTCCAACCTGACTTGAGTGCATCCCTCAACTTTGGACACACACTTCAGGAAATTAAAACAACTCGGGAGGTGGAAGGGACTGAACCTATCCCTTTGGGATAAAATATCCTCAATAAAAATGATGGTCTTCCCCAAACTATTTTACTAAACATGCTGCCAATCCAAATACCTGATAATATATACAAACAAGTTAATAAACATATACATAATTCTTTATGGAGTGGACGCAAGGCACGATTTAGCCTAACAACTTTACAAACACCCAAAGAAAAGGGAGGGTTTAATTTGCCTAATCTCCAACTATATCATTGGGCTTTCACACTTAATAAGTTTATAATGACAGTTAGATCTCCCTTACCCGAGCCATCCTGGGCTAATATCGAGCAACACTTCATCCTACCCGCTCAGTTGAAAGATGCTATACATATTAAACAGCAAGGTGTAGTAGAACAACACCCTTGTCTGAGTTTCATTTACCAGATCTGGAGGAAGATTCATAAAATTACCAGGGAAGCTGTATTACAGTCTCCATGGGTACCATTTGTGTCACAGATACCCAGTCCCTGCAGTTTGCCTGCTTGGTGTAATTTCCAGACTCGCATCTCAAACTAACAGCAAGTGGTTGGCTACAGCTTTTGCAGTCGCTAAAAAGCTAATATACTGTAGATGGAAAGACGTTTGCAAGTGGGAACTTGCAGACAGGCTTGGGAACATATAGCCTCTGAATAATTTATGAATAGAGTTTTTCCTTGTATTTTTTTTCCCATTGCCTGTTTCTGTTTTAATTTAAAAAAACATTCAATAAAAAGAAAAGTTTGTCCAACAGGTGACCTCCTCTTCTTTAAATCAGTGGTTAGGGGTTGAACATCATTAAATATGTACGCCATGACGAATAAACATCGGCTGCGGACATCGGTTCACTCTGCAGTCTTTACCGATTGGCCGACGTCTGTCAAAATGGCCGACATTGAGGTTAACCTGTTAACCTTCTCCTGTAGTGACCAGAAACAAAACACAGACGGAGGTTATTTAGAAAATATCTTTATTTCAATCCAAAGCATTCAGCAGAACATTAATCCAGTTAAACTGAGTCCAAATATTCCACCGCAACGAATATAAAATCAAACATACGCCTGTGAAGTACCTCATCACATCCTGTTTGTCACGTTTGCTCGGACTTTCTGCCATCCCAAAACTTTACCTTTTAAGTCAAAATGTTTGTAAAAAATGTCCCAGGTTTAAAAATACCAGAATTACCATTAATGTCATATTAGTTTAACTCCAAATGTTAACCAATCATGCAAGAAAACTCCTGAAAAACTCCAGATATATCCCAGAGGAGGAGCGTCATGTGATCACTCAAACTTCTGAATGTTTCTCTCTTCACCCGGAGTTTCTCCTCCAGCCTCCTCGTATTTATTCTGCAGAAAGTCAGAGTGAGCTGATGTGAATACGCAGCAGGATATAATCAGGAGAATTCACCTGGAGCCAGTGGGAGGGGCCAGTGGGAGGGGGTGGTGACCTTTATTCCCTGTGATCGCTGCACGACCATAGACTGTCTGCACGCCACCTCTACCATCTCCGTGCTCTAATCAACCTGCTGCTGCATGTTTCCTGTTCTCCAGGATGTTCTTCTCCTCTCTTTACTTCACATTGAGATTCTCTTCAACTACACGTAGCGTTGATACAAAGACACATATTCTCATTGTAGCGTCATATAGAGGACTATGCTGCTTCGTCTTACCTCAGGAGACTCCCCCCCCCCCCCTCCTGTCTGACAGGGATAGTCTCTTGTTGTGAGGGTCATGTGTGAACAACCAGATCAGGAGAATATCCGGAGCAGTCCTCCTGAGATTATCTAGATATTTTCAGGAGTGCAGATGTGAAAACAGCTAAAATAAGTGAAGACATTTTGAAAGATTAAAAATATTTTAAAGCCGTGAAGTTGGAGCGTTATGAAATGGTGAGGGTCTTTGTGTAACATACATGTGAGGTCACTGAATGTAGAAATCAATCGATGGTGTACTCGAAAGGATAGTCCTGTGTGGGCCCAGAGTCAAAGATGATGCTGTCAAACGGGTTCTCAGTCGACCAACTGTCCACAGGAAACCACGATTCGTACCAGGAGGTTGTTGTCTCTGTTTTTGGTTTCGTTGTTGGGGCGGTTGTTGTTGTGGTTGTTGTTGCTGTTGTTGTCGTCGTCGTTGTGGTTGCAGTAGTGGTACCAAAACCGCCTCGTAATCTCTGCAGACGCAGCCTTCGTAACCGTATGATCCTGAGCCGCCTGAGTCTCTCCGCCCTCTGAGCGGCGGCGTGACCGTCCGTGGTGGTTTGAACTACGGGCACCGGGGTCGTTTTCACCAGGCTCGGTTTGGGCACGAGCCGGATAGGCCTCTTGCCGTTGATGGCCATGATTTGTCGTATGCGGTCCCAGTTGGATTTGGCCAAAGTGAAGCTGCACGGAGTGGCTCCGGAGTCATAGCCCACCATGCACAGTCTGGTCTGAGGGGTGTGGCCCTCAGCTTTGGCGGTCACTCGGTACTCTCCGGGATTCAACAAACGCCAGTAATCTCCTCCTAGAGCTGAAATGTAAGTGACAAATATTTTTGGGAGTGTCATGTTTGGGATCCGGATCTAAAATGGTTTCAAAATGCAGGAAAGTTGTTTTTGAAAAAGAATCTTTGTTGAAACCCAACGTACCAGTTCTGACATCATGGCGTATTCCCTCCACGGTGATGGTCGCATTAGACAGTGGGTTTCCCTCCGTGTCTCTCACAACACCTTTTATACCCCGGTTTACCTGCACAGGAGACAATATGTTTACAGTACAATGGCCAATACCAAGCACATCAACTTTAACTGTACATGACATTTAAAGGTGGTCGTAACGCTGCATTAGAATAGAATAGAATAGAATAGAATAGAATGACTTTATTGATCCCAAACTGGGAAATTGTGGTGTTACAGCAGCATGTTATCAAAGCAAATAAAACAATATAAGAATAGATACATAAATAAGCACTTAAAATATAAAAGATAAGAATACGAAGAGATTTATACATCAAGGATTTAACTTAACATTCCTACTGGCTAATTAAAAATTAAATACAACATTTATTCAGGCTTGTTAACTGAATGTAAAAATACTTGCTGGAGGTAAGAGATGTAAGTTTGCTGTGATGACAGTGGTGAATGTGCAATAACACAGTACCATTAGAGTACCATTAAACCGCTCTAAGGTTGGTTGTAGTTGTAGTCTTGCCATCTGGAGCCTCAAACTTTGCTTCCAATAATTCTCAGGTTTTTTTCAGCCTGGATACTTCTAGTAGTTGTTGCTGCTACAGTTGATCCGCCCTTGAGCTCTAGCCAGCTAACTATTGCTGGTTGAAACCAACGCACCAGTGAGGGATTTACATCACAGACCTCATATCAGAAAATTTTACTAAACCGCAAAATACTGAAGATATACGTTGCAGTTGGCAAGGCTTGAATTTTTCTTTAAATAAACCAGGAAAGAAACTCGTTGAGATTTAAAATCTTTTTCAAGAGCGTCCTGGGCGAGACAGGCAGCAGCACAATCAAGGAGCAGCCAAACATACTAATACAAAAAATACATTATTAGACATTAAAAGACACAATTACCAAATCTGATCAGCAAATGTTTGTCAAGATGATCCACAAGAAAAATGTTGAGGACTCAAACTCGTACTTCTCACCTGTTCAATGAAGGACAGCAGAGCCTCGCGGTTGTTCTCCCACTCGAGGGGAAGTTCACTTTCATGAGGAAACTTGTCACAGCCCAAGAAGACGGACAGCTCAAAGCAGTTGGTGTGCAGGTAGCTGAAGTCATTCATACCTGTGGAAGAGGTCGCCAAGTAAAGGATAGGAAATAAACGATTAGTTCAAAACCGTAGACTGCATGTAAGAAGTAAACGTAGTCCGATGGTTTTTGGAAGCCTTTTTTAAGCCTGGATTTTGGCATTTGGTCCTTAACCAACTTGGTTTTAGGAGACAGGTATTTGTCCACGCTTTTGTCTATGATTAGGCAAAATGGTGGAAAAGAGTAAAAGAAATTAGCACAACCACCGCCTGACGCCCAGCCTCAACCATCGGACTGTGTCGTCCCTCAACCACTACCCAACGCCAAGCTTCCACCATAGGACTGTAATGTCCCTCAAACACCGCCGACGCCCAACTTGACTGCCTGACGCCCAGCCTCCACCATCGGACTGTGTCGTCCCTCAACCACTACCCAACACCCAACCTCCACCATCGGACTGTGTCGTCCCCACAACCACCGCTGTCCTCATTCATGCATGGCCTGCTCCGACCTCCACCTCAGCGGCGAGGAAGTGTGGACAACAGGAACATGAGGAATACAAAGTTGAGCATATTATCCCATATGCTCTTTTGTAAAGTGTCTCGAGATAACACTTGTTATGAGTTGATTAAGTAGGGTATGCTTTACCTGTATTTGACACTTCTATCGAGATTTAGACCTTCCAAAAAGTTTTCTATCTCTACCCAGCTAAAGTCACTTGTGGCTCAACAAACGATGATGGAGCTGTTAAAATGTTGAACTAGAAGGCTCAAAATGGTAGCCAACAAACCATTGGGGCTTACATCAACTTCTTTACACCACACTTGGCAAATTATTCCAGTAATCGATTACAGAGACTTCTGGGAAAAATATGAACGTGAAATATTTCCTTGATGCTCAACGTATCGGCACTTACTGCCCACCACTGGCTTCCAGCTGGCTCTGTTGGCGATGCCCTGTCCCCCTGTGATATCATCACCATGGCAGGAGCCCCGGTACGTGTCTGCCATGGTCAGATGGCTGTGGGCGTACGACATCGCCAAC